TTATAAAGAAGAGTTAAAATCTATTCTTCTCAAACTGTTCCAAAAAATAGAAACAGAAAGGAAAACTTCCAAATTCATTCTATGAGGCCAGCACTACCTTGATTCCAGAACCAGACAAAGACCCCAGTAAAAAGGAGAATTACAGGCTAATATCCCTGATGAACATGGATGCAAAATCTCAACAAGATACTAGCAAATTGAATCCAACAGTACATTAAAAGAATTATTCACCATGATCAAGTGGGGTTTATTCCTGGGATGCAGGGCTGGTTCAATATCCATAAATCTATCAGTGTGATACACCACGTTAATTAAAGAAAGGATAAGAACCATATGATCCTCTCAGTAGATGCAGAAAAACCATTTTATAAAATACAGCATCCATTCTTGATAAAAATCCTCAACAAAGTAGGGATAGAAGGAATATACCTCAACATCATAAAAGCCATATATGAAAGATCCACAGCTAGAGCCTATCATTTTCAATGGGGAAAAACAGAGCTTTTCCCCTAAGGTGAAGAACATGACAGTGATGTACATTCTCGCCACTGTTGTTCAACATAGTAGTGGAAGTCCTAGCTTCAGCAATCAAACAACAAAAAGAAATAAAAGGCATCCATATTGGCAAGGAAGAAGTCAAACTTTCACTATTTGCAGACGACATGATACTCTTTGTAGAAAACCCAAAAGACTCCACCAAAAAAATTACTAGAACCAATACATGAATTCAGCAAAGTCACAGGATCTCAAATCCACATACAGAAATCTGTTGCATTTCTATACACCAATAAAGCAGCAGCAGAAAGAGAAATCAAGGAATCGATCCCATTTATAACTGCACCAGAAACCATAAGATACCTAGGAATAAACTTAACCAAAGAGGTAAAAGATCTGTACTCTGAAACCTAGAGAACACTTATGAAAGAAGCTGGGTAAGACACAAAATGGAAAAATATTCCATGATCATGGAAAGGAAGAACAAATATTGTTAAAATGTGGATGCTACCCAAAACAATCTACATATTCAATACAATCCCTATCAAAATAACACCAGCATTTTTCACAAAGCTAGAACAAACAATTCTAAAATTTGTATGGAATCAGAAAAGACCCCAAATAGCCAAAGCAACCTTGAAAAAAAAAAGCAGAAGTGGAGGCATCACGATTTCTGGATTTCAAGCTATATTATAAAGCTGTAGTCATTAAGACAGCATGGTAATGGTACAAAAACAGAGAAACAGATCAATGGAGCAGAAAAGAAAATCCAGAAATGGACCCACAACTATACAGTCAACTAATCTTTGACAAAGCAGGAAAGAATATCCAGTGGAAAAAAATACAGCTTCTTCAATGAATGGTTTTGGGAAAATTGGGACAGCAACATGTAGAAGAATAAAACTGGACTTTTTTTTTTTATTAAAAAAAATGTTTTTAACGTTTATTTATTTTTGAGACAGAGAGAGACAGAGCATGAACGGGGGAGGGTCAGAGAGAGAGGGAGACACAGAATCTGAAACAGCCTCCAGGCTCTGAGCTGTCAGCACAGAGCCCGAGGTGGGGCTCGAACTCACGGATCGCGAGATCATGACCTGAGCCGAACTTGGATGCTTAACCGACTGAGCCACCCAGGCGCCCCAAACTGGACCACTTTCTTACACCGTATATAAAAATAAATTCAAATGGGTGAAAGACCTAAATGTGAGACAGGAAACCATCAAAATCATACAGGGGAACATAGGCAGCAATCTCTTTGACCCTGGCCATAGCAACTTCTTACTGAGCACGTCGCCAGAAGGAAAGGAAACAAAAGCAAAAATAAACTACTGGGACTTCTTCAAAATGAAAAGCTTCTGTACAGCAAAGGAAATAATCAACAAAACTAAAAGGCAGACTATGGAATGGGAAAAGATATTTGCAAATGACATATCAGATAAAGGGTTAGTATCCAAAATCTATACAAAACTTATCAAACTCAACACCCAAAAAACAAATAATCCAGTGAAGAAATGGGCAGAAGACATGAATAGACACTTTTTCAAAGAAGACATCTAGATGACCAACAGACACATGAAAAGATACTCAACATCACTCATCATCAGCAAGATACAAATCAAAACCACAATGAGATATCACCTCACACCTGTCAGAGTGGCTAAAATAAAGAACACAAAAAACAACAGAAATTGGCAGAGGCAGAGAAAGGGGAACCCTCTTGCACTGTGGGGAGAATGAAAACTGGCGCAGTCACTCTGAAGAATAGCATGGAGGTTCCTCAAAAAATTAAAAATACGGGCACTTGGGTGGCTCAGTCAGTTAATTGTCCAACTTTGGCTCAGATCATGATCTCATGGTTTGTGAGCTTGAGCCCTGCATCAGGCTCTACGCTGTCAGTGCGAGCCTGCTTCAGATCCTCTGTCCCTCTCTCTCTCTGGCCCTCCTCTGCTACCTCTCTCTCTCATAAATAAATAAACATTAAAAAAGTGTAAAAAAAAATAGAACTACCAAATGATCCAGCAACTGTACTACTAGGTATTTATCCAAAGGTTACAAAAATACAGATTCAAAGCGGTACACGCACCTCAATGTTTACAGCAATATTATCAACAATAGTCAAACTATGGAGAGAGCTCAAATGTCCATTGACTGATGAATGGCTAAAGAAGACGTGGCATATACATACAATGAAATATTACTAAACCATCAAAAAGAATGAAATCTTGCTATTTGCAATGATGTGGGTGGAACTAGAATGTATTATATACAAAGCGAAATAAGGCAAATCCCATATGATTTCACTCATACATAGATTTTAAGAATCAAAACAGATGAACATATGGGAAGGGGGAAAAAGAAGAGGAGAAACAGAAAAAAACCATAAGCGACTCTTAACAGAGAATAAACTGAGGGTTGATGGAGGGATGTGGGTGGGAGATAGGCTAGATGGGTGATGGGTACTAAGGAGAGACCTGTTATGATGAGCCCTGGGTGTTGTATATAAGTGATCAATTACTGAATTCTACTCTGGAAACCAATACTGCACTGTATGTTAACTAACTAGAATTTATATAAAAAATTGGAAAAACAAAAAAGAAAGAAAACTAAAGAAAAGATTAAAAAAACAACAAAAACCCTAAATCTGAATAATAAATGTCATTACTGTCTTCGTGCCCTAATGCCTTTGCTATCCTAAGCTTCTCATAGGTCCTTGGGCATACAAACTCCTGCACATTCTTCAAGACCCAATTCAAAAGTAATGTCTGTAGTGAAACTTTCGTTAACCATCCCAGCATTACATGAACTGTTTACTATGCAGCCAGTAACACTATGAAAGCATCTTTTTACAGCTCTTTACATCTTTATACTGTAAATTTGTTTTTTGGATGTGCTTCTTTAAAGGCAGAGAATAATCTTTTTTATTTCTAACTCCTAGCACATACACTGTCCTACAGGGTACTCAATAAATATTTGCAGAATCAAATGGAATCAGGATTGTAGCATCTAAAAATGGCTTTAACAAATGACTAGCTCTAAGAAGCCTTGTTGAGTCTTATTCAAAAAGGACTTCCAAAGAGGAGGCACATATCAAATTTTGTAACACTGATCCTACTAGCAGATGGGAAATTGTGCTATGCATTTAGGTTCATTAACCTTTTCAGCACTTTTTCTTTTTGAAATACTGTAAGTGCTTCATCAGAAACAGCTATTCTCAAACTTTTTAGTCAACAAACAGGATTAGCTGACTACCTACTCTATCAGCTACCATTTGCCTGTTAAGACAAAAACGAAATCTAAAAAAAAGTAAAGAATACAACTGACAGTGGTGAAGAAAGTTTCAAATTAACTTACAACATAAAACAAGATGGTCAACTTAAATTAATCAAAGAAATAATCAGAGACAAACTAAAGCACTGACTTTTAAGCAACATTTTGACAAACAGATTTTACACTATAATCTAGTACACACATGCCTATATTAAATACAATAATTACCTTTACCGACATGATGGAATCTGATACATCTAATTTTCTTTTCATTGGAAAAACAAACAATCAATCAAAAACCTACCAGTAGAGACCTGCCAAAATGATTTCATGACACTACTACTGGGTTGAGATTTAAAGTTTGATAAACACTGTCCAAAGAAATTGTGCATGCTATTAATAATCCATATGCTACAGCGATAGCTATAATCCCATATCAAATACGTATATGAAGTTTACAGCAAAGTACAATGTCTGTAGTATATCATAAAAATTATGAATAGCAAATATAATTTTAAAAATAATGTGGTAATTTCTATCAGTAGTTAGAAAAAGTGAAATGGAATCTTTGATATCTAAAACATGAAAAAAATATTATGTCTATTAAGACAAGTGCCTTAGTCCTAGACCTCTAAAAAAGTGACAAAGCAAAGGGTCTTAGCTGAGCACTGTTAAAAGAATGATTTTATTTTAACCATTATTCTTAAGTATTTCTTCAAGTGGAAGAAAGCCCTGTCTTGAGAAGTTCAGTTCTACTCATTGTTGATCTTAGTTATTAAATTGTGAGATATGGTTTTAAAAATAATTTTCATTGAGTGTCCAACCCAAACTCAAATTTAAGACAAGTCACTCTTCCTAACCAATTATTACCTTTAAGTTGCTATAATAAAGAAATTCTACAGCCACCATCACCTTTAAGTCATGTTAAAGAAACCTCTTTTCACAGCCAAATAAGAAATCAACGCTTAGCTGATTTTGTTTTTTAAAAACTAGTATCAAAACACATTCCCCAGTAACCTACCATTAGGCAATGATGCTCTACCTGTAATTTATATAAATTTCTTAGTTTAGGTGCTACTACATCTCCATAAACATCCCTCTTAACAGAAAATATTTTTGCTAAAACACTTCAGCGGCTTCAAAAGAAAATTTTCATGAAATGAAATGACAGAAATATAAATATAAAAGCATTCCAGAACAAAGAGCATTTATGTATATCAAATAAAATTGCCATTTACTTTTTACAAGACTGCCACAGACACATGAAGTTGTGTCCAGGTTTTCTCACTGGATCCCCTTGTTGACTAGATGCACTGAATGGAGAAGGCTGAGAAGTGCTGGGCTGGTTCTGCACCTGCGCAGCTGGTGAAGGCGTCATAGGAGTGTTCTGTGAAAAACACAACCGCACGGTTTGTGAGATGACACGGAGAAACATTCACATTTTATACCACAGGTTTAAAATGAGGATTATAATGACGACTGTATGATTATATCGATAGTTATAACTTCTAAAATAAAATTTACATTTGTAGTTTTCATAATTATTTTTTTTTAAATTCTTTACAACGTTTTTTATTTATTTATTTTTTTTATTTTTGAGACAGAGAGAGACAGAGCATGAACGGGGGAGGGGCAGAGAGAGAGGGAGACACAGAATCGGAAACAGGCTCCAGGCTCCGAGCCATCAGCCCAGAGCCTGACGCGGGGCTCGAACTCACGGACCGCGAGATCGTGACCTGGCTGAAGTCGGACGCCCAACCGACTGCGCCACCCAGGCGCCCCTTTAAATTCTTTAAAAAGATAACTATGCTTATGAAAATAATTAGGAAGTAAGATTCTTTTATTTCCTATGAACCACAAAGGCAAGATCATATTGTTGTTGTTACAGGATATACATTATTTTGAATTAAGAATTTTATATTAATAAAATTAGGCAGAAACACAATTATAAATTAAAATAAATAAAGCTACTATAAATGCACCCATTTGATTTACTTATGTACATTCTTTACAAGAACAAATCAATTGCAAACTATTATTTTTTGGCATACATTTCCATTTAGATTTTTTAATCAATACAACAAAAAGCAAACAACACATAGCAAAAAGAAAAGAAAATTTCTGATGTTAAAAATGAAGTAACCATAAGTAGAATGTTGTAAATATTATTTTATAGTTAGCTGTTTTAACAACTTTAGTCTTTTATGTTGTCCAGTTAGACCTTTTGATGGACAATACAAGTAAAAAGATTCTAATTATAGACATAAGTCTTTAAATATAAGCTATGTTTTCTTCTTCTATACCACATCCCTTTCTCTATAAAAGATACATAGGTAAATAATTACAATATATCTTAAAACAATTTGAGGCAATATGTTTTCTTTGAACCTTAACTCAGATTTATTAATCCTCACAAAGGAAAAAATAATATTGAATTTCTCATATAGAAATGGCAGCACACCATTTCAAAGCATTGTTTGAAGGCAATAAATTTAAACTTTGGGAAGATATTAAGTACACTATTCACTTATATGGTGATATTAGAAATACTTGGGCAAAACGAAGTTAAAAATAGCTGAAAACGTCAGATTAAGATTCATAATAATTAGAAAAAAAGATGAAACACATAAAAAGCTACAGCATAAAAAAAAGGGAGACTGAAATGCTGAAAAAAAAAACATGTCTCTTAGAAATGTGAAGTCAGGGCACCTGCGTGGCTCAGTTGGTTAAGCATCCGACTCCTTTTTTTTTTTTTTTAATGTTTATTTTATTTATGTTGAGAGAGAGAGAGAGAAATAGAGTGCAAGCAAGGGAGGGGCAGAGAGAGAGGGAGAGAGAGACGATCCCAAGCAGACTGTGAGCCATCAGCACAGAGCCCATTGCGGGGCTCGAACTCATGAATGGTGAGATCATGACCTGAGCTGAAACCGAGTCCGAAACTTAACCAACTGAGTCACCCATGTGACCCAACATCTGAGTCTTGATTTTGGCTTAGGTCATGATCTCACAATTTGTGGGTTTAAGATCCATGTCTGGCTCTGCACTGACAACATGTAGCCTGCTTGGGATTCTCTCCTTCCCCCTCTCTCTGCTGCTCCCCTGCTCGTGCTCTCTTTCTCTCTCTCTCAAAATAAATACTTAAAAAAAAAAAAAAAGAAATGTGACATCATGGGGTGCCTGGGTGGCTCAGTTGGTTAAGTGTTCAACTCTTCAGTCAGCTCAGGTCATGATCTCACGGTTCACTGGTTTGAGCTGGGGCTGGTCTCTGCACTGACAGCATAGGGTCTCTTGGGATTCTCTCTCTCTGCCCCTCCCCCGCTTTGGTGCATAGGAGCACAGGTGCGCACGCACGCACTCTCTCTCTCTCTTTCTGCCTCTCTCCCACTAGCTCTTTCTCTTTCAAAAATAAACTTAAAAAAGGTCCTGGGGCACCTAGCTGGCTCAGTTGGTTGAGCAAGTGACTCTTGAGCTCAGGGTTGTGAGTTCAAGTCTCATGTTGGATGTAGAGATTACTTGAAAAAAATAAAATCTTGGGGCACCCGGGAGGCTGAGTCGGTTAAGTGTCTGACTCTTGATTTCAGCTCAGGTCTTGGCCTCATGGTTTGTGGGACTGAGCCTTGTGTCAGGCTCCATGCTGCAAAGCCTGCTTAGGATTCTCTCTCTCTGCCCTTTTCCCCACTTGTGCTCTCTCTCAAAATAAACTTAAAAACAATTTTAAAAAAAGAAAGAAATGTGAAGTTAGGAACTTTGGAGTTCCAAGCTCTAAGGGAAAAAAAATCTACCTTTGGGATATAATTAAAGTTGTTTCTATAGTTGGGTCCCACCACTAAGATTTTATAATACAGTTAGGGAGAAAATATACATGCATATACATGCATGAAAAACAGGTGTCATGGATAGGATGTGAACTTTCTAGTCTGACAGATCCGTACTCAAACTTTAAATTTGCCTTTTGTACTAGTTATGTGACCCTGGGCAACCTATTTAACCTCTCTGATCCGAACTGTTAAGTAATGAAACCCAACTTTAGGAATGGTGGGAAGACTAGAGAAATGACAGATGAAGTGCCTAACTCTAGAGTCTCAATAAACGGCAACAGTTACTATTATTATTATACTAGAAGTCCAAATAGAGAAATCCAAGAGGGAAGTCGTATTTTGGAGGAAAGATGATGAGTTTGCTTTGGGAACAACTGCAAAAGTTAATGCTGGAAACATGGATCCGACAATCATTCACCTGTGAATTCTATTTTTTTAAATCACTTAAAAAAAAATGTTTATTTATTTATTTTGAGGGAGAGAGCACAAGCACAAGCAGGGGCAGAGAAAGAGGGAGATAGAGAATCCCAGGCAGGTTCCATGTTTGGCACAGAGCCCAGTGCTGAGCCGGATCCCATGACTTGTGAGATCATGACCTGAACTGAAATCAAGAGTGGATGCTTAACCAACTGAGCCACCAAGGTGCCCTCACCTGTGAATTTTTTTTTTAATTTTTTTAAATGTTCATTCATTTTTGAGAGAGAGAGAGACAGAGAGACAGAGTGTGAGTGGGGGAGGGGCATTGAGAGGGAGGCACAGAATCCCAAGCAGGCTCCAGGCTCTGAGCTGTCAGCACAGAGCCTGACGTGGGGCCTGAACCCATCAACCTGAACCGTGAAATCATTACCTGAGGCAAAGTCAGACGCTTAACCGACTGAGCCACCCAGGCACCCCTCACCTATGAATTCTTTAAGCCATAAAAACCGATGATGAGAAAGCAGATGGGGGTGGGGGTGGGGGAAGAGGGTCAGAGACAAAGGAATGGAACAATAGAATTAGTTTATTTATCAAAAGAATTATGCAAATTGATTCCCTGAAATAAAAATATTACATTAAAAATACAGGAAATTCTAATAAAGGGGAGTAATCAAGAGGACCAGTTTCAGCCAAATACAAATATTAAAGAGTAACAAGTTACACATATCCCAGAATTTTAATTTAAGGGTAAATTTGCCAGAGACATCAAATTTCCTCAGGATTAACCTCTGGTTCCCTATACTTTCACCATTTAAATTAGGTATCTTATTGACTAGCTTGTCATATATTTGTAGATTAAGCTTATTTTTACTTTTATAAGTGCTAACAAATCTTTATCCTATTTTTTTCTATTATGGAACTCTTATTTGGTGTCACAGAAAATTTAAGAAGGAATCACAGGGTATTTTAACCCTAAATGTTAATGAGGGACATGGAAAGAATGCTCTCAAATTAACCTAAGCTGTTAAATTAAAAATGAATAAAGATACATTAACCAAATGCAAGGTGTGAAAAATTTGTGGACCCTGATTCGAACAAGTTGTTTAAAAAACAAACAAAAAACCCACCACATTATTTTTTAAAGACAACTAGAGAACACTGACCACGAACTGGGTATCAAATAATATTAAAACATTACTATTTTTGTTAGATGTGATTTGGTATTGTATATATATCTAAATAGTTAAAAGTACTTTAACAATTAAAGAAATAGACTCTGAATTATTTATTGGCAAAAAGAAATAATGTTTGATATTTGTTTTAAAGTACTCCAACAGGGGCACCTGGGTGGCTCAGTCAGTTAAGCAACTTCAGTTCAGGTCATGATCTCATGGTTTGTGGGTTCAAGCCCCACATCGGGCTCTGTGCTGACAGCTCAGAGCCTGGAGCCTGCTTCAGATTCTGTTTCCCTCTCTGTCTGCCCCTCTCCTGCTCATGCTCTATCTCTGTCTCTCAAAAATGAATAAATGTTAAAAAAAATTTTTAAGTACTCCAATAAAAAAAATGATAGTGGTGAAGAACAGATGAAACTAAAAAGGCAAAATGATAATATTTTAAGCTAGGTAATAGATACATGATGATTTATTGGCTTTTGTGTATGTTTGAAAAATGTGTACAATAAAAAGTAAACAAATGACAAGAAGAATTAAATAGATCAAAATATACATCAGTGAAACAAAAAGAATTAAAACACTTACAGAATATACCAAATGAGAAATTCTAAAAGTCATGTTTTCTTTGACCACAGAGGTAATATTATTAGGTTTCCTCTTGTATTAAAAAAATCATACATTTCTTTCGACAAAGCTAATTTTCAAACAGGTTGTATTATGCTGCAAAATTTTTAAAGTACCATTTAAATTATCTTTTAAGAATTAGGTCTTTTGCATGAGAGTGCAAAATAGATTTCTTTTAGGATGCAGTAGTTTACCTTTTCTTACTATTTATTTATCATGAACTGCTAGACCATAAGCCATAACTCTAACTCAAGTGCAAATGCAAATATAGGTTTCAAAGTCATATTTTGGGAATGATCACTCTTGAGGAATATTCTATACCATCCAGTCTATTCAAGAGGAGCTATTTTTGTATATCAGGGTTTTGTTTTTTTTCAAATCAAAGTGGAAAAGCCACAACTCCAGCAGTGAGTGACCAGAAAAGTAAAATTACAAAAAGGATATAAAACAATTCTGTGATTTATTCTGTAATGTAAAATTAACTAAACCTTAGAATAAGACTAAAATTTAAACATTTCAATATGTGTTAGAAAAATACAAATTCATAATCTAGTCTCAAAATAAATTCTTTACTAAGTAGTAATGAAATACTGTGTTCAATTGTAGCTACAGATTTTGAAAGCCACTTATAAAATGGAATTGATTGAGGTAAATAGGATGATGAATACACCAGACACAAGGACACCTAAGATCCAATTGAAGGAACAAACTGAAAGAGTGTCCTCTAAAACATAGGCAAGTAAAGAGAGATACTCTGAAACAGCTTTAGGGAACAAGAACTAGATTTACTCTAACTGTGATATAAAAGAGATGATACTTAGTCTAAATGTACAGATCTTTTGAGAACAGAATGGAAGGCAATAATAGAAATCTTTGGAAGAGAAATCTTTTTGAGTTTGGGAAAGTTAACCTCAACGCTTAAAAATGAGGGTTTGGGACAAAGTAATATCTAATAATCTTTCTACTGTAACATTCTCTTATGCTCTTAAACTATCACATTTTTTTACTCTAAGCATAAACCTAGACAGACAATCAATACATATCAAGCCTGGCTTATAAAAACACATCGAAATGCAAACAAAAAATTATGTTTAGTGGTAATGCCTTTCTTAGTTTTTACAATGTGCTAGTCTGCCAAAAATCTAAGCAGTAGCACTCTTAAGAAAATACTGAAATGAGAATTCCTGTGGCTTTTGCTAAAATGATCTTGGCTATGACTAAATGCTGCCCCCTTGAGGCGACAGATCTGCCTTCTGATGGATCTGGAAGATACCAAGATTCAGTTTATGCCCACCATATCAGCAATGATTCCTATGTGAAGAACATGGAACTGAGGAGAGGCATATATAAAATACCTTAAGTAAGTACATCCTTAAGTAAACTATTTTTATATACAAGAATTTAGCATGTCTTCAGATCATGGGATTAAGAGTTAGAGTTATGTTCAACATGTGTTTCACATGTTCCTGAAAAAGGCAAGTCTTTAGGTAAATATTTATAAGTAATTTTATTTTTTTTACTCATTTTTTATTTTTTATATGCCAATCTATTTTTTTTTTTTTTGTCTCCATAAGGTACCCATTTATGAACAGTGGAAGGAGGCAGAGCCTTTGGAAGTAGTTATACTCTAACCTGAAAATATAACAGACTGAAAATAAGCAGCTACAAATAAAGAAATCTGCTTTATTTTGTATTTATATAAACTACACAACTAAATACTACTTAAACACAAAATCTATGGTGACATCATTTATTTTCATCCTCTTTTTTTGTTGTTATTTTTTTTCTGTAATGAAATTAATACAGCTGATTAATGGGATTAAAAAGGAACAAAATCGAGAAAAGGAACATGAAATAACATTGGTTTTAGGAAGGATTACCTGTTGGCCATTCTCAGCAGGGACATTTCCCTGCAGTCTTTTCAGCCCTGCACATTCTGCAAGTCTGGAAGTCCCTTCTTGGGGTCCAGGTGCCTCCTTTACATCCCCAAACCCCTTGAAATGGTGGAAATAACAAGGTTTGGCTGAAAAAATCACATTTAAAATTCTCTATTTCATCTATCCCTTTAAGGTATCAATTCAAGCAGTGAATAAAATGGTATTAAACCAAGGTCTATATGAAAGAAATTTAAAGAATCTGGGCAACAATGGAAATGGCTTTTTCTATTAGCAGGCTCTTAAGAAGGCCCAACAGCCTGCCCTTCAAAGGAAACTTATGATCCTATCTTGAACAGTTGATCTTTTTTAGGCTTTATAGGTACTTTATGTGAAGGTAAAACACACCTATACCTTTATTGAGTACCTAACTCTATAGCAGTCACCATGCTAAGTGTTATACATGAGAACCCTGGTTGTTAATTCTCACTCATAGACACCATGCGTGCTATCTCTTTTTCTTTGCAAAGCTTTAAATTTCTACATGCCAGCCAAACACTAATTTTAAAAATAAAGAATGTAGCTATTTTATTTTTTTTTTATTTTTTATTTTTTTATTTATTTTTGGGACAGAGAGAGACAGAGCATGAACGGGAGAGGGGCAGAGAGAGAGGGAGACTCAGACTCGAAAACAGGCTCCAGGTTCTGAGCCATCAGCCCAGAGCCTGACGCGGGGCTCGAACTCACAGACCGCGAGATCGTGACCTGGCTGAAGTCGGACGCTTAACCGACTGCGCCACCCAGGTGCCCCAAGAATGTAGCTATTTTAAATAAACTACATTCTTTGGGAGAATATATAGAAGAACACATTCTTCAGATTAGGAATAAAATGTAATAATTTTATGACTTGGATTAGGTGCATATACATCCAATGTATTAAGAAGATGTCCTGAAATTATCATTTAATGGCATGCACATTTGGTAACATAATAGTTCAAATAATCAATATATACCAAAGGACTTTCTAGAACTTTACAAAGAAATCTTTTTTAAAATAGTGCATAAATGGGTTAAGAGTATAAATCTTCATTTCAGACACACACCCAAGTGTTCAGTCCTGGACCACCGCATATTAGCTGGTGACCTAAGGCAAGTTACTTTGCATCTTGGAGCCTCATTTCTAAAACATCCATAACAATTTTTACCCAACAGAGTTACATAAAGGATTAACTGAGGAAATGCTTTAGTACAAAGTTCCTAACACAGGTCCTAGTTTTAAAAAGTATTGTTGTTTGTTCTTTGTTACTTAAGTATCATTATTGAATATAGTCACACTGGAAGATTATGGACACAAAAAATGAGGGTTGATAGTTCCACAATAATGGAGTTTTTCTCTCACTTGGCTTAGTCTATTATAACTATTTAGGATTATAAGGGAATCTGAGAGGAAAAAACAGAGTTAGGAACATAATCAAGGTGAACTGGTTAATTATTAAATGTAGGAAAAATATAAAGATCCAACTTACTGAATACTATGTGCCAGACATTGCACCATTAAAAAAAAATTAATGTGCTTAATGGATGAAAAACTCAAAGAGTAGCATGGCAGTTTGAGTAAAACTGATTTCGTATTTTTCACCAAAACTCAGTATTAATTATTGCCATGTACATACCACAACTAAAGAATACTCAACCTATTTAGGTACCTTGCAATAAAGATAAACCTAAGCAAGGTAGTACTGACATATGAATTCAAATCTCATTATACCTCCAGACAGCACTGTCCAGTTTTATCCACCCACATGAAAAAAGATGCATATCAGTGGATGAAGTGTTCTGAACCAAGGGATTCTTTGTTCTTTCATCTTTTATTCTGCTGACCCCTCCACTGCTAAACTTGGTACTAATGCCAACAATGGCCATAGATCTGCTGTAAACACCAAAAGCACAGAGGCGAAACCCAAGTCAGAAGACTGCTAGCAGAGCTGGTGAGTCACAGAAGGGTCTGGCTACGGAGTACTTAGGAAAGAGAGTGAAGAAAAAGTAATCCAGGAAATAGGTGACAGACAACTGTCTGTGAAGTAAACCCCTAGTTTCAGTGGAAACAGCATGCAAGACTGTCCTTAAAAACTTTACAGGCAGAATGACCCTCAACTCAGTAGCACTGATGCTAGAAAACACTTGTATTTACTAAAGTGTACAGATCAGATAGGAGATATTAAAGAGGGAATAGCAATAGCAGAAACATGATAGTAGGGCAAAGGAGTAAGAAACACAGCAGCAAGAATATCAGAATAGCTGAAAGAAACTGAAATTATAACACTTTTTAAAGAATAAAGGCAACTAAGTCAATATGTAAATATAATAAGAACACACTTGATAAAGTTCTTATGGATTCATCTTTTTTTTTTACAAAAGAACTGTGAAACAAACCATAAAAACATACATCAAAATCAAATACAGCAACTCCCTTTTAAAGTGGTTTTACCCAAAAAATAAATAAACGTTGAAAAAAAAAAAAGTTTAAAAAAAAAGGCTTCTGTATGCGAGTCGGTTACGTCCGACTTCATTGTGGTCACGATCTCACGGTCCGTGAGTTTGAGCCCCCAAGGCCAGGCCTCTGGCTGATGGCCTGTGAGCCTGGAGCCTGTTTCCTGACTCCTTGTGTCTCCCCTCTCTCTCTCTGCCCTCCCCCATTCATGCTCTGTCTCTCTCTGTCCCAAAAAATAAATAAACGTTGAAAAAAAAAAAAAAGTTTAAAGTGGTTTTAGCATCCCCTTCCAAAGGAGACCAAAAGGAGACTAACTTACATTTAAAAAGTCTCTAAACAGCACCTGGGTGGTTCATTCAGTTAAGCACCCGACTCTTGATTTTGACTCCGGTCATGATCTCACAATTTGTGGGTTCCAGACCCGCACTGGGCTCTGCACTGGCAGCGCGGAGCCTGCTTGGGAGTCTCTCTCCCCCTCTCTCTGCCCTTCCCCCACTCGTGCACATGCACACACGCTCTCTCGCGCGCACGCTCAATAAATAAACATTTAAAAAATTCTCTAAAAGATGTCAGATTAGCAAGTACTCCTCTATCTTGGGTCTATAAAATTACTAATTTGGGTCTATAACAAAATTGAAAAGACTTCAAACCACGTGCTAAAGTTAACAACTGAAAACTGTATAATACCAAAAAACACCAAAAAATAAGAGCACGAGAACCTGAGTACATCAGTGAGCAGACACAATTACCTTTTCAAGATGAGGCATGGAACAACAGTGCATTTTTCCCTAAAATCCTATTTACAAATCAGAAATTTCTAAGAGCAATATGATAGCAGAACGACTTACCTGTGGGACCACATTCTGTACGTATGTTGGTGGATGCTGTTGCTTTTGCTGAACAGCACTTTCTATTGCTACTTTCGCTACAGTGCTTGGATCTGCTCCTGCTGGCACCGCAACCATTGTTGCACTGCAGCCAGCATTGTTGGGGTCACTGATTGTAACAATTCTAACTCCTACTTTATTTGGAATTCCTGTGACTGTTTCCCTATCATTATCCTCTGCTGGCCTCTTTACAGTTTTGCATTCTGCTGTGCCATTTGTAGACCGAACGTCAGATGACAGGGCAGGAGAATGGGACACTCTTGATCCTGAGTGGGGAACTGCTACGACTTGATGCCCCTGTATAACAGAGGTTGTAGAATGTGGTGAGACAACTACACTTGGGCGTTGCTGAGGCACATCTGAATTCAAACTTGAAGCTAGAGGTCCATTAGGCAAATCAGTACCACTAAACTGCTGTGTCGCCACATTTGGAGCCTCCTGTATACTGCTCACAGATGGTGAACCACCCAAAGTTAATATAGGTCCATTAGAAATTCTTTCTAGTTGATCACCTTTGGCAGTATCTTGCTGAGTGGCATCTAAAGTCCCTTGTGGTTCCATTGGAGATATCTCGCCATTTCCTACATGATTGGAAGTTTTGTGATTTGGAATGTTTTTGCTTAAATGAGAACCATCTCCTTTATCAAAATCACAGATTCCATTAACCAGAGGTTTTTTCAAATCACTTTTGATATCCTGCATGTCGATTTGTTCTGAGTTCTGTTTTCCGGATGTTCCATTCTCACCTAATTCTAACGATGGCCCATTACTGATTAGTGAGCACTGATTAGCCTCACTTTGAATTTTCCCTGAGTTTGAAGGAGGTAGACTTGAGTCACTGTACTTTCTCCCATTTAAAAGACTTCCCACTTGCATTTCATTTTCCTTTGTATCCCCATTGCTGGTGTTTGTGGTTCCTCGTCGGCAGGACGGGTTCTCCATGACTTCAATCTTACGTTCATGAACATGTAAACCTGTTGCTTCTTTTGCTTCCTCCTCCTTTTGGCAAATTATCTTATCACCTTTGAACGGGGGAGTAGCAGTAGTACAGGATGATTGTCCAGCTGGAGATGTCTGAGTGGCTGGAAGCGTTTGCACCTGAAGTCCAACTCCTGCTTGCGTCCCACTCATAGTAATTCCTGCTGGAGCAATGAGCTGAGTTGCATTTCCCTGACTCACAGTTGCAGTTGCAAAACTTGTATTTGGCACAACTGTTATGGTTACCTGGTTGCCAGAAGTCCCTTGGAAAATGGTTGCTGGGCTATTTGAGATCAGTGGGCCTGGCAATATTTGTAAGTTCGAGATGGGCACAGTTTGCACTCCCCCTGCAGGTGGCATTGCACTTTGGACCAACTGAACATTTTGCTGCCCAACCAATAGCTGCTGAGCAGAAGTTTGCCCCTGCACTCCAAAACCTGCTGCTTGGTTATTGGCCACCTGGTATACCACCTGAGGGCTAGGAGCTCTAGCATTATTAGGGGGAGGAATCTGTGGAGCTGGGAGAATTAGCTTACCACCTGGTGTTGAAGGACCACGCTTTGGAAGCAGCAACTGTTTTATCAGACTTGACTCACCAGAAGCAGGCTGACCAACGCCTGCATTTGTCTGCTGTGGCTGAACTTGCATCTGTACTTGTTGTGGCTGCTGAACCTGTACTTGTACCTGTTGTGGTGAGGGCGCTGGTGAATGCTGCTGCTGCTGCTGCCTCTTCACAGACAGCATCTGACTGACGGTAGGAGGTGGTCCTTGTGACTGAGGGGCGGAAGAAGATGACATGGCAGTTGGGACTTGGTTATTAGTAGCTGGGGCAGGTGATGGTGAGGAAGATGGAGTTATGTTTGGTTGCCCAGTTAGCTGAACTGTCTGACCAGCTGGAAGAGCTGCTGGATTAGCAAGAACAATTTGGTGAATGGCTGGTGCATAAGTTTGACCTTGTTGAGCCGGCTGGCTTACAATCACTACGCTTTGTTGGGTTGGCTGCTGTGGTTGTTGAATGGGCTGTTGTACCACTGTTGATGAAACTTGCTGAGAAGGGAGAGGTTTTGGTGCAATGTTCTGAAACCCTACTCTTGAGGGTTGTGGACTTGGGACACCAGCAATGGTAACCATCTGTCCTGTAGCTACCTGAAAATTCTGTACGGACGTTGCTGAGACAATATTGGATGCAGAAGTTGTTACGTACTGTGAAGGTGCTATGATAACGGTGTCTTGTGGCTGGCTACCAGCTGATGTTTGTTGAGATGAAGTTTGCACAGGCTGGGGTGATGTGGTGATTAACTGTTGACCCTGTGAAACTGTAGAAGTACATGCTGGTATGTTCTGTACTCTGCCAAATATATGACTCTGTGGGACAGCTTGTTGAATTACTGTAACAGGAGTGCCGGAAGGTATCTGTCCTGGTACCACTGTGTGTAATGGAGACTGTTGTGGAATTACAGATGGATGATGAAGCAATGTCTGGGAATTTACAACTGTAACGGGTTGTGGTCCTGTACTATGATTCTGAACCACAGAACTCTGAGCAGCTCCTCCTCCCACAGCAATACTAACAGGAACTGCTGTCTGGGGTAGAGAATTCTGAATTACTGTAGCCTTAACAACTTCACAAGGAATTGGAGCTTTATTTTGAATGACAGTCACTGGAGCATTTTGCTGCTGGTGGGTATGAACTGTAGGATTTGGTGGAATTCTTGAAACAGTCTGTGCCACAGTATGAACACCTTGTACTGGAAAAGACATTTGTGTTGCAGTCAAATTTGAAGATTGGTTGGTAACAGAAGTCCTCTGAAAATGGTTTCCTACAGTTTGTGGTCCATGAGGGATTCCTGAAAAATAGAAGGGAAAAGCCAAAATTTGTAATGAAATGACTGAAAGCTGCAGGTAGGCATTATTTTACTTAATACAAGAAAAAAATAGTTTTAGGAAATTAACATCTAACTACTTTGCATCACACGAATATGATAATAAGTAATAGAATAAGCAAGAAAATGCTACTGGAAAAACAAGGAAAAATTATACATTTTAAATTTATATAATATCCTTTTTCATTTTTTTACTTATTAAGTCAGTAATACTTAAAACTCAAAAATTAATACCTGCAGGTGAAGGACTTGGAGATACATCAGGAACAGAATCAACACGAACAACAGGAGTAGAGACTGGTTGCTGCTGATAGTACATCTGAATGGGAAGTGGTATAGCCCTCCGTTTTACTCCGACCACATGAATATGTGCCTGCCCGTTGCTGCTGGAATCCTCCACTCTCTTCACTGTATGATTTGGAAAGACCGTTCTGTAAAGTACATACATACTTAGTTTTGTTAACTAGCACACGAGCAAAAAACACTGACTTCTAACAGTGTTTACATAACAGCAGCAGGACATTTGCTGCTACTCATTATGAACCAGTATGATTCATATGGTTATAGATTCTGTAAGGGTAGGGAGCAAAGAAAAAACATAAAAGATCAATTCTCCAATTTTTAAAATCATTATTTATTAACACTGTGGGGGTTTTAAATAATTCTATTGCATATATAATTAACAAAAAAGCTGCATCTAGGCAATCAGTGTCTATTTTATGAACTTTGCAAAATATCAAAAAGCTTTGATATCCGATGACAAGAGTTTTAGCTATAGACTATTATTCAAGACTACAAAGGGCGAAAGTCATGTCTCTAACATATAACAGTAGGTAGAAAAGTTTCTCTCTTCTTTCTTTGATAAGCCTTCTAATATTCAAATACAAACACCAGGTTTGATTTCCAAAATTTCCTTGTATTTAAATTTTCACCCTTACTACAACCTAGCCAATATTTCAAGTAGTAGAAATATTTAAAACTGGATAGTTATTTTGTCTAAAGAGCAAGAGGTGTTCTAAGTGATATACATGAACTTTGTTTGAAGTTAACAACTATGCATCCTACCTAAGACATTTATAAAATCCAGTTGAAGTTAGGATTCCACCACGAGCTAATTTACTGCACGTTGAGAGGTACTCAGAATACATTTCTGCTCGAGAGACAGAACAATCTGGATTTACTTCAAAATGAGCATTTAGCCTAAAAAGGAGAAAAATAAATGGCATTATGCATAGTAGATTATAGAAGAGTTCATATTTAAATATAGCAAAACCATCTGAAGGCAATGTATTATTAAATAATATTTATGCCTGTTAATCAAATTTCTCTCATGTTATTAGCAAAAAATGCACGTTAGGTTTTAGATTGATGAAACCAAATAGAAAGAGATTAACCATGTGATCATATTTATTTTAGTATAAAAAATCATGAACAACAAATATAAAAACTGTGCTCACATCCCAGTGAGAACAGGGTTGGTCTGTTGGCAACAAATACTCACTCTACAACAAGTAAGTGTTATTCAACGACTATCTACTCAATTTCCTGTCTTGCAATAAGTAAAATATAACAGAAATTCCCAATAATGAGCTATTTCCATCGGAGATGAGGAAAATGGAGGAAAAACTGAGCTAAAATTAAACTTGTGTTGCTTCTTGGATCAAATTGCTTGAGAAAAACTTACCCAAGCTTCCAACTACTCCTTAAACAATGATACTTCTTCCATGCTGCACACTCCCATTCCCCCATTTCAGAGACTTTTATTCCTAATCCATTACAAAGTAATTCAAACTTCAGTATGTCTTTTTCATATAGTGACTTCCATCCATACAGAAGTTAGGATTGGAGGCCAAATTATCTTCACAGGATTCTTTTCTAGGATTTACTATATACACAACAGACCAATGTATAGCTGTTTATATAAACGGACTCAATACTTATGATAAGATAACTTTAAAATGATTCTCTCCTTCTCCACTAGAACTGGCAGAAATATGCAAATGAGATTTATAAGGTCAAATTTATGCCTAATATACACACATTGTGCAATGGATGTGGCACATACTTTTTCCAACTTTCATAATTCTTTGAGTACTGAATTTTCAAAAGGACTAGATACAAAAAACTTTTTTTGGTTTCAGCGTAGAAGACAAACATTTCCAAGTATTATTGGAAGAGATTCATCAAGTATAAGGTGTAAAAATACAGAAGGTGAGGAATAAGCAAAAAATTAGAGATATTTAAAACTATAAACCTTATTTGAGCAAAGTGGAAAAGTCTAGAGAAAACTGCCACAGGAACAAAGATACGAAAGCACCAAAAATATGGAACACAGAATGACAGGAGCATGGAATGGGGGACAAACAATGTTCGAGAATGGGAGAAAAGGGATCAAAGAAAGAAAAATTTTAAAGTAACACATCATCAGAAAGTGATCTTTTACATTCAGTCTGTTAATCTTCTAAAGAGTTTAAGTTGAAATTCATAAACTATGTGGAAGCTATTATCCATGACAAAATGAAATCTAACCAAGTCTCCATTTATTTTTTCAGAAAGTGGCTGACATAGGACTATTCAGTCTTCTCCATAAAATATTATTTTCAAGTTGCTTATTCCTATGTAAACTCACTGGCTCGTCTATCATTTGATTAGTTTCCCCTTACTATTCCCAAAAAAGAAAAACTATCAGTGAACAAGAAGTATTGCTTGTGATGAAAAAGAAGGGACATTTAACAACAAAATCTGGTTTTATTTTCTTAAAGACAGTCCTGGTCAGTTTTAATAAAATACTGATTTAAGAAAAACAGATTTTATAATCTGACAAATCTTATTTTCTACAAAGTCAAAGGGTAACATTTTAACACAAATTTTACTCTGAAAAGAAGTGGTGTACTTTAATGAAATTCTAGTCAAAGACTATTTTAATTCTGAAGATTATGATGAATATTTTTCTTTTAAACTGTTCTAAAATGCAGGTGAAATGATTTTACATTATCCTTTCTTTGTATAAATGATATTCTACTCTGACTAAAAAGAAATACAGAATAAAACATTCTGGATGACTGTTGAAATACATTTCCTTCACCCTTTTGCTTTATTCTTCCCAAGGATAAAGCCTTAATAGAAATAAACCACTTACCACTGACAAGCAAACTTCTCACTATCTATTTCCACTATTCCTGGAGGTGGAGCAACATGCTGTGCTACAACTGCTCTGGAAGCTAAAGAAAAAAATACATTAGCTACATCATTTTTAGAAACTTACTTAGTTACTATATGCCATGTTCAGTTCATGGACACTGAAACAATATTTACAATGAATACCTTTTAAAAAAGGTGTATAAACATAATGAAAATATACAAATTTGAGAAAGAAACTTATAATGGAGCACATATTATACCAGGCACCGTCTTAGATGCTTTATATAAATACTCTTTTTTAAATCCTGCAATCATTCCAATAATAATGCTATGGATTATATGGTCAATATCAACTCTGTTTTTCCCATGGGTCAGACACTGAGTTAAATACCTTACATATATTATTTTAATTCTTCTGTGCGGTGGGTATAGATATGGAAATGGAGACTCACTCAAAGTGATTAAAATAACTAGCCCAAGGTCACACAGCTCAACACATCAGTAAATAAGAATCAGTTTAGTTACAGAAGCAGATAGCATCAGAAATCGGAACTTCACTTCCGAATCTAAAAGATTAACATTAACTCTCTAAGTGGCATATATAACACATCTGGGAAAAGGTGAACAAAAAGGTGAACTAATTTAAAGTCCTACATTCAAGAAGGATTTTCCTAAGATTATTTTTCTGAAGAAAAAGAAATCTACTGTAATAATAGTTTTAAAATATACCTATTGTCCGAGGAGAGGCAAGATGGTTGTGTGAAAGAGTACTAGCTGTTCATCTTAAGACGCATAACAATTTCTGAGATTTTACTTATGATATATTTTAAAACAATTCAAATCCAATGAATATGTTAAATAATCTATTATTTTCTAACAAGTTGAGTAGATCTGTAGAAAAATGTTTTCTTTTCTGCTGTATTATATATAAAGGAACTAACGAAAACATGAAAAATATAACATAAACTTAGTCATATGATAATAGGTTATAAATACGAGTCTTTATTTATAAAATTAAAAATTATACTGCTTCAAATAGTTTTTAAACTTATAAAATGTACCCACTATTTTTCAAATAACATTTTAGCAAATAGGTTATAAATGAGTCTTACTTTATTTATAAAATTAAAAATTATACTGCTTCAAATAGTTTTTAAACTTATAAAATGTACCCACTATTTTTCAAATAACATTTTAGCAAAACTCAGGATCCTCAAACAGAACAAATGTATTTCTAAATTATTAGAACCAAAGGAGCTCCAGAGCACAGTCAAATCTGTGAATGATCTAAAGCAATCCTTGACTTGTTTGATGAAGCCCCAAGCTTTCACTGGGATAAGAGCTAATATCAGCCACTTAATGAACATTTGCTCTGTATTAAGCCATTTACATTTACAAAACATGTTTCTTTTTATCTTATTTGTAGGCCTAAATTTAATTACCCTCATTTTGCTAATGAAAAAATAAAGCTCAGAGATGAAGTTTACAAAAGAACACATGACAGAAATGGCAGAACTGTGTATAGCTGGAAAGCCTTCTTTTAGGAGTACCCGATTTGAATCCAGGTCTGTCATATTTCAGATATCATACTGTGACATGCTGTTTCTTAACAGAACAAAATAATTAGAACCCAAGCTATTTTCCTGGTGCAAGCCCAGCTTATCTTTTCTTCTCCTAACTTGATGACACAGTGACAGAAAATAGCCTTCTAGGGCCTGTACCTATATGGAAATCTTCCTCCTTTTTCTTCATCAGTTGTACTATGATTGTACTATGTACCCTACTCAGACTGAAATCTCCTGAATCAATTAACAACTAGTTGAGTGAAACATTAGAAATGATGTTGAAATTATCAATTTCCAGATACTCAACTTTTGTATATATTCCTTTTTAAAACTGCCCTTCTCCCATTTTGGAACAGAAAGTCTTACATCTCATCCATCCTTTAGAGCAATGCAAGTTATGGTTAAATACACGGCTCTGGAGCCAGAGTGGCTGGCTCTAGAGTTCCAGCACTCACTAGCTGTGTAACCGTGGGCAAGTTAATTAACCTCTCTGTCCATAAAATGTGGAAAAGTAACACTGACCTCATAGGTCATTATGAGGATTAGAGAAGTTTAGATAGAAGCCACTTAAAACAATGCCAGGCACATAGTTTTCACTATATAAATGTTAGCTATGATGATGATGATAACAATGACGACGAATGATACAAAAACCTCTAGGGCACCAAAGGGAGAATCAGAATTATTACAAACCACAAAGCTTCTTTTAACCAAGGTATTATGGTAGGGCTTTCTGTCTATATTTTATTATGCTTTACATATTATATTTAGGAGCAATGTTGGGCATTAGATATTGACTATTCTGGTGCTTTGGTGTGTTCTGAATTCAAATATAGAGTGAAGACAATTTTTGTTTAATGTCCTTCCCTCCTCTATCCTAGTAAAAGGGTATTACTTTTCAGGTCGAATCTTGTATAAGTAAAGCATAGATAAATTTTTTAAAGGAATACTGAAGGTGGCGTCATCTTATTTCATTCAGATGACAAAGTCATGGCTTAACTATGTTAGAATTACAAAGTAAGGAGCGTGTCATGGGAACACCTATTAACCACACTTTCTTGGATTGAAAAATAAAGTTGGACTTTATCAAAATAATGGAAAATGAGGTTGATTAAGCAAGATCCTTTTGATAATAAAGACTATTAGTTAGGTTATGTGGCAGACATTTTCTATAACTCAATGAGGTAAATCTGCAGTTCCAAGGTTTTAACACAAAACTACTCAAAGCACATGATAAAAGCACCTTATCGAAAAACTATATTGGTCTCGAACAATATATCCAGTTCCTAACCCAGTGGTCCTCAAAGCATAGTTCCCTGACCTGTAGCATCAGCATCTCATGGGAACTTGTTAGACATTAAAATTCTCAGGTACACCTGAATCAGAAATTCAGGGTATGGAGCCTAGAAATCAGTGTGTAGGCCCACCAGGTGATTCTAATGCACCCTGAAGTTTGAGAACTGGTGTGCTAATACTTCTTGAATGTATCAGGTTAAATAAGGTGTATCTAAGCAAAACAGTCAGTGAGTATAACTTCTAGTCATATCTTATTAATATCTTTTTAATATATTTTCAATAAGCTTAAAAGTAAATGTACTGACTGGGCATCAAATTCTTTTCTGAGTCATATGTTGTTACTTTTTTGATCTCAACAAAATCAAAGAACTCGCGTCAGAAGATCATTAAATATAATCTTAATAATTTTGGATAATTCTGAAGGTCAAAGAATTACTAAGTTCTAACCTTAGCTATTTACTGATGTGAACTAGATTTTCAAATTAAATCTATAAAAAGGAAAAACAGAGATAGAATTAATGTTGAACCCAGTTTCACTCAAGCAATAAAAAATATTCCTTCTGGGACACACTGGAGTTAACACTTTACTGAGAAGTAGGGAAAAAAGTCTCGTCCACTTCATTAAGAGATGAACTTCCTATAGCTACTTTGTCATGTATTGTTTCACATACTGTTGATTTCTAAAACTCGTAATGATAAAATTTTAAACACTTAAAACTTCATAGAGCACCAGGAAATTAAAGAAGGTAAACTAAAATGTCTACATTTATAGCTGAGAAGTACTGATAGGAGTTCAAGGAGAAAGAGGGTATATAAAATTTCCAATATGAAGAGTTTATATATTTTTTTAAATGGATGTTGGTAAGTATCAAGATGATACTGGATACAAAAAGTATTTTAACTTTTATTTCAAAATGTCAATTTAATATACACAAAAAATTTTATTTACAACTATTTAAGTTATAATGAAGAAATTTAGATTTCAAATTAAAAGTGGGTGAAAGGTTATATATAAGTATTCATAGTGATGAGGAAAAGTGAGCAAAAAGTTTGAAGAGGACCATTCCATAAGAAAGCAGTAATAAACAAACAATGGGGGGGGGCGGCACACTATGAATGATACCTAATAAAACAATTAAAAGTTGTCATTCATGATGAGCTAGTAATAAAGTAAAATGCTCATCGGCTCAAAGATGAACTCTTTTAGGTTGTCTTTAGAGGCTTATTCCCACCTCTATCAATGAATTACTATATATATACATATGTGTGTGTGTGTGTGTGTATATACACACATATCACAAACGCTCATCATTTAATTTCGTCCGTTTGCTAAATGAGGACCAAATCTTAGTTTAGGAGGTGGCTTCATTTGTTAAGGTCACTAGTGGGTCAATGGCAAGGCAAAAAACAGTAGCCTTCATCAAAACTACCCTTAAATATTCTTCAAATGGACCATTATGTTTCAGGTTATCAATGATAATTTATTAATTCCTTTCTTTGTTGGACATAGTTTCTCTATGGCCCTCAATTAATTTAATCTCTAGTTTCTTCTTTAAGGATAAGAACATACTCCCACCACACACCTAACTGGCAAAATGAACTGTTTCATTTCTTTGTTAAGGTTGAGAAACTATTAATATTTGACCACTGATTCCCCAATATGCATTGGCTATTTAACATCTATTGCCTGTGAGTGAAAGGTACTAACTAGATTAGTAGTCAAAATTACCTACTGTTTTCATGCTTTATAATTTGCCCAATTCTGTCAGTTGATATCAAGTAAGTTAAATGCACTTATGATACAACTCTACCATATACTTTAGAAGGATGCAGTGGAAGTCAATAAAGTATGTGATATGTATTACACACTTTGTGTGAATAGAGTATATAATTGTGATTCTATAAATTAGAGAAGAGGAGAGACTGGGACCATGATTAAATGAGAGCAGAACAAGGAGCTGGAGAGATGTGATGAAAGTCTGAACTGGGCCATAAGCACTGGCAGTTGAAGACGCCAGGGTATTTAGGAAGATTCAACAAGATTTGGTGAATAAATGGATGTGGTAGTTAAAGATAAAAAATAATGAGATTTTTGCTGTGAGGTTGTGAGGGAAGTTGAGAATGATCTAAATGTATTTCTAGGCTGAAAGGAAGAAGCAGGTGAAAGATAAAGAGGTTTAAGATATATGAATGAGGAGATAGATGGATATTCAGAGCACAGATTGAGAAGAAGCTGACATCTCTGAAGACAAAGGGAAGTTGAAGGAAAATGAATTCAGACGCTAATAAGTTTGTAAGTGAAGGGGTAAGAAGCTGAAGAAACCCATGCCACATGACTTCCATATTAATTGCAAAGTGAGAATACGATCAACTGAGGAAAAGAATATCCTATATTAAAAAATACAAGGAAAGAAAAATGTCTTGGGAATGGTAGGAGGTGGAAAGAGCAGATGAGGTGAAAGATGGATTGTTTTAAGACGAATGAAGTTGAAAAAAGCACTTCCAAAAAAGCTGAGAGTGCTAAAATATAAAAATGATGACTCATATTGAGATAGGAGAAAGAAGTCCAAGGACTGAAGAGAATGATCATTATTAGACAGGTATGAATTCCAATTAAAGACATTTGAGTTAAACAGAACTGACCCAAGGGCCCCGAGGAAGGGTGCACAAGTGCAGGTATATATGTCCATATATGCGTCATGTGTACAAATGCACATGTGTCTAATCCAAGACTCTGATTCTATGGTTTCTGGTCCAAAATTGAAAGTTATTAGGATATATTATACTTATGTATTAGTATGATCAGCTAGGAGAATTATAAGGTCATTCTTGGTATATCAATTTCCAGGGAACAAAATCACAAATAAGTCCATCGGGGCACTTCATCTTGTTCCCACAGTTGTAAATTTCTAATCCCTCACACTCCTCTAAATGTTTTTTTGAAACTCTATTATACTATTCTTCCTCTGACTTACGTTGGTCCTACTGCTCCTGGAACGTATAGTATCTAAGAAATTAAAGCTTACACTCAAGTTCTGCTTTAGCCTATTCCACTATACAATATCAGTTTCCTGTACTGCATATTTAAATTTATCCTTAGTATTAAATCTTACACACCATTAACCATACTGAAAAAACATTATGTAAAAACACTAACCTGGGGTGGATGCTACATGGGTCTGGGTTTGGACTTGCTCTACAGCTTGTGGCCTAATTTCAGATAAAACTTGATGACTGGAACTTGGATGTTCGACGAGTTTTACTGCAGCTAGTGCATCAGGGCCAAACATCTGAATATCCATAGAAACCAGACACACTAACATGTCTAAAATAAATTAAAAACCAATAGTTATTAATCAATAGTATTACCAAACAATGACATTGCTGAAAAACACATGCTGTTAGAATAACTGTTTCTCAAATGCCAGTCCACAAATCATCGTTCATCAGAATTATCTGTGGATCTTTAAAAAAGATAGTTAGGCTCAATCTCTGAAGACTGATTTAGTATCTCTGGGATGGGGATTTGGCATCTTTGTTTTTAAACAATTTCCCAACTGATTCTGATGTGTAGCCAGATTTAGGAACCACTGATATGGAAAGTAACATCTTAAATTTCTCAATAATAGTACTGGCAAGCCAAATCTCTATTAACTCTGATTTTAGTATTTACACCAAAGACAGAAATCATTTTAATCAATGAGTAAAATGTTAACATGATATACTTTCATAAGTATGTTTAAAACTCACAACCCACTAAGGGTGTGTTAAGTTCACTAATTTTAAGGATAGTAGCACTACCAGCAACTTCTAGGAACACAAGGAAACTTTTTCACTCAGCTTCAGTTGCTTAATAGTAGCAGCTGTGGGGCGCCTGGGTGGCGCAGTCGGTTAAGCGTCCGACTTCAGCCAGGTCACGATCTCGCGGTCCGTGAGTTCGAGCCCCGCGTCAGGCTCTGGGCTGATGGCTCAGAGCCTGGAGCCTGTTTCCGATTCTGTGTCTCCCTCTCTCTCTGCCCCTCCCCCGTTCATGCTCTCTCTCTGTCCCAAAAATAAATAAACGTTAAAAAAAAATTAAAAAAAAAAAAAAATAGTAGCAGCTGTTTAAAACTGAAAAATCTGCTCTTCAGAGACAGTAGTTTTGTTGGTTTGAAATCTGATATGTAGTAACAGAAATACAGAAAGGGACATGAATTATTGGTAGCCACATACACCCTGGTCTCTATATGACAGAAGTTTCTTGCTAATCTTAAACAGGCAAAAAAGAATAGCACAAACAAGTGTATCTAATGGGTAATGACCCCTCAAAATAAACAGTACATCCTAAATATCAATTGTGATTTAGCACAGTACCAGACTAAATATTTTGTTTCCTCAATAAGGAAAATAAATATTTCTTTGGTTTAGTCTTACCTATGCTCTTTTCTACTTTTGCAATTTTTGTGCAAGCGACGTCTCCCATTTCAGTGAGCATATATAGCACCTCGAGTGTTGAGATTACAAGCAGCACATCAGGTAAAGTGAGATGACAAATGATCTCTCTGTATGAGTCCTGATCGACATATTCACAAATCAAAACACCATTATCTTCTGCTTTGCAAAGATTTCCCAAAATTTCCATGCCTGAAAAGCATACATGCACAAACATTTATTTGTTTTTTAACAGATGCTAAAAATTTTGTGTGTGTTATACAGTGAGGAAATTAAGTAAGCGCTTACCCCTCATCTTTAAAAATCTATCCCTTGACATTAGGCATTTAGTAACAGTATGAAACATCAGATGAGTAGTTTTGAAATCAACAGGGTCCAATAGAAGCTGGAAAAAAGAAAGGACACTATTGTTGAGGCAGGCTTCTTCCACTGTTGTCAACTTCAAATTTAATAAAAATTAACAACAGTGTTGCGTATGTTTTAAAAAAATGTAGTTACTGTGAGAATAGCCATCACTAAATCTGGAGCATCATTTCAAATATTTCTTTTTTCTAAAAAAGTGTGTGATACCATACCACTTTAGGCAAAACTGTATGTAGGCCTTTCATATTCTGTAAGTACAGCAAATATAATAATCCTATATACTAAAATTTTAAAGTAAATATCACTGCTAACTATTAAAACTATTTTAAGTTACTGTCACATGCTTACCTCAGCTGCAATATTTCCTAATGTGTCAAGGCCTAATTGCCTTAGAGAAATAAAATGACTATGTGCAGAAAGTAATAGGAAACGAAGACAGGTACGATTAGCTGCCAAGAGCTTAACATTGCCCTCCTCAAAGGAAAGATTTCGCAAAATCACTGCAATCTGAAGTACCCGTTGTCCTTCAATATCATTAATGCCCAGCTTTCGAGGTGGATGAAATAAAGATTCCCAAATCCATTCTCCTGATGTACCTTCTGTAATAGAAAATACACATTTTACTTAAATTAATATTTCATTTATTATTATTGATAGTCAAAGTTACTTAAAATTTTTCTCATTGACTTACCATGAGACTTGTTTCTGTCAGAAATGAGGTCACGTACTTCATTATCATCAACAATGTCCTTCCAAAACTGTAATAAGAAATTATAATACTTAATTCTGACATTTGAAAACAACTCTTCTATTACTTTAAAGACAGTCACACATACTATAACTCTATAAAATTTCTATTTAAAAAAAATTCATGTAGATATGTTATATATTTATTTATTTGACATAAATGCTTAACTTTTTATAAGTTTAAGGTAGTTATAAATAAGGTATCATTTCAGACTAGAGTTTCTCAACCTGGGGTTATGGTGCTATTATCTTGTTACCTTTGTACTAATTTAGGGTCGTATTATCTTGTTACCTTTGAACTAATAAAGAAGCACACAGACTATTTGCTTTTCATCTCTTAAGCATTCTAGTATGTATATTTCAAAATAATTGTATTTTATTTTTTCGGAATGAAGATTCCTTTGCATTTAAAGTCACTAGTCTGAGGGGCGCCTGGGTGGCGCAGTCAGTTAAGCGTCCGACTTCAGCCAGGTCACGATCTCGCGGTCCGGGAGTTCGAGCCCCGCGTCAGGCTCTGGGCTGATGGCTCAGAGCCTGGAGCCTGTTTCCGATTCTGTGTCTCCCTCTCTCTCTGCCCCTCCCCCGTTCATGCTCTGTCTCTCTCTGTCCCAAAAATAAATAAACGTTGAAAAAAAAAAAATTAAAAAAAAAAAAAATAAAGTCACTAGTCTGAGAAAAAGTCCACTACCAAAAGGATCCACTGCTCAAAAAACTCACGATAGAAAATATTTGAGAATAAACAAGAATTAGGCATACGAAGAAAAAAAAAAAAACAATGTTCAATAAACAAGAAAAAAGGGCCATAGGAAATCCAAATAACAAAGATATCAGACATGGAATTTTAGATGATCACAGATAATAAATTCAAAGAAATAAGAGATCGAAAAATTTGGCAAATAAATGAAAACTATAAGAAAACTGGGGTGTCTGAGTGGCTCAGTTGGTTGAGCATTTGACTTTTGATTTTGGCTCTGGTTATGATCTCACAGTTATTGAGTTTGAGCCCCACGTCAGGCTCTGTGCTGACAATGTGGAGCCTGCTTGGGAGTCTGTCTCCCTCTCTCTATGCCCCTTCCCCACTCATGCCGTCTCTCTCTCTCTCTCAAAAATTGAATAATAAATAAATATTAAAAAAATATAAAAGCTAAACAGAATTTCTAGAACTGAAAAGACAACTCAATCTAACAAATGATTATATACAACTCAAGAAACAATTAGTGAACTAAAAGAGAGTGCAGAAGAAAATAACAAATTGTCAGCAAAAAGAGACAAAAGGATGAAAAAAAAGCATATAAGACACAGGGCATAGAGTGAAAGGTTCTAACATTAGGGTAATTGGAGTTCCTGAGGAAGATGAGAATGGGCAGAAACAATAGTTGAAGAGACAAGGCAAAGAATTTTCTAAAACAACTGAAAGATGTTAACCTACAGATTTAAAAAGCACTCCAAACTCTGAAGAAAGAGAAATAAAGATGTGTAGGAACATCACAATAAAATAATAAAATACCTGAAAAGCAAACACAAAACAAAACAGGGGCGCCTGGGTGGTTTAGTTGGTCAAGTATCTGACCAGCTCAGGTCATGATCTTGCAGTTCGTGGGCTGGAGCCCCATGTCGGGCTGTGCTGACAGCTTGAAGCCTGAAGCCTGCTTTGGATTCTGTGTCTCCCTCTCTCTCTGCCCTTCCCCTGCTTACTCTCTCTCTCTTCTCTCTCTCTCTCTCTCTCTCTCTCAAAAATATATAAACATTAAAAACAAAAATTAAAACACACACATACAAACCCTCCAAAACAAAATCCAATTTAAAATGCAAAGATAGAGAAAAGAACAGATAATCTTGAAAAGGACAACTAAAATGACAGCAGACTTTGTAAAAAAAAAAATTAATAATAATAATAATAATAATGATGATGATGATGATGATGATGATAATGGAAGCCAGAAGACAATGGGACATTTCCTTAGTGATGGAAGAAATGATCTGCCAAACTAAAATCTTTATACAGTGAAATTGCCCTTCAAAAATGAAAACTGAGAAAACTTGTCATCTACAAACCAGCGTGAAAGAAAAATAAATGAAAAGGTAGATGTAGTTTAAATCAAGATAATGAATGAATTACTTAAAAAATGTCTTATGAGGTAAAAATACACATAAAATTAAAATCTAAGACAAAATGTCTAGAAGAGACTTTTGTTCAGGCCATAATGGAGTAACTGGTACTTCAGTAGTCCTCTTCCTATCATAAAACTACTATGTATAAAACAACTGTTTTCAGAGATTGGACAACACAGCAATGCAAAACTAATCACTGAAATAGGGAAAACGAATGAAGTGAGTCCAATGACTGTTCCATAGTTTTACAGGACGCTCTTTCTAGACTACAGCAAAGGGACAATAAATCTAAGAGATCACAGCAAGCTGAGGAAACTGATCAAGGCCAATAGAACTAGAATTTGAGAGCAAATTTGCAAGAAAGAGGAGCAATGAAGAGAAAACTCCATGACTCTGCACAGGACTGCCTTGAATTGATTGATGTTATGACTGAACTCCAAAACACCAGGCCAAAAAAAAAAAAAAAAAAAAAAATGTAGAGAAAAACTACTGAGGAGCTATACTGGACAATTCACAAAACAGAGAAAACTCATTAAATACCCTGTTAATTCAGTCAAAATCCAAACAAAGCCATGCCTTAGGAATAAGGATAAACTAGTGCTAAAGACTAATTTCTCTCAATCATAACAAAGCTTTAAAACAATCTTCTAAAGGATCAATATGTCACAATCCATATGTCAATTAAAAAGCATGCCAGAACAAAGTCCAAAATCCAAATACTCAATAATGTAACATTCGTAATATCCATATCTAATAAAAAATTGTCTGTACAAAGAAAGTAGGAAACATGATTCATACCTAAGACAAAAATATTTCAACAAAAAACAAATCCAGACGTAATAAAGATAATGGATTTAGCAGGCAGATTTTAAAACATTTTTTAACAAAATTTTATTTTTTACTAAATATGGGCAAAGATGTAAAGGGAAGTATGAACACAATTAGAAAAATGGGATGTTTTTAAAGACAATCAAATAGAATCTCTAGAGTAGAAAAACATAGTATCTGAAATAAAAAACATGACTAGAGGGGCTAAACATAACAGAAACTATCCATGAAGAACATAGGAAAAGAAGGTCTAAAAACAATGAACAGAACTTCAGTGGCCTGTGGGACAATAAATGGTCTAACATTTGTATGAATATAGTCTGAGAAAAATAAGGGAAAGAAAATATTTCAAGGCATAACTGTCAAAACTTTCCAGATTTCATGAAAAATTACAACCAAAAGAGCTAAATAAATCCCAAGCAAGAAAAGTGCAGAAAACTTCAACAAGGCACATCATAACCAAAATAAAAATTGATGATTAAGCAAACACCTTACAAGCAGTCAGAGAAAACACATCACACACAAGATAATAAGAATAAAACTGACTTCTTGTCAGTAACAAGCAAATCAGATGGCAATGCAACATTACCCTAAAACTACTCAGATAATACCCTAAAAACATGTAATTTTATATTCAGCAAAAACATCTTTCAAACATAAAGGCAAAATAAAATTTTTAGGAAAATAAAAGCTAAGAATCAAAACTCAACCACATCAGTAATTTCATAAAGTATAAATAAATGGTCTGAACACATTCATGAAAAGTAATAAATTACAGAAAAACTATAGTGAGGGAAGAGGGGAAAGCAAAACCCAACTATAAGATGTCTATAAGAAACACTGTATATAAAACCATAGACGACAAGCATAAAGACGGAAAAAGATATATCATGAAAATATTAATTATAAGAAAGCTGCTATAGATAAATTATACCAGGGAAGTTACTTCAGAAAATGGGATATTACCAGAGGTCAGAGGAATATTTCATGCTGATAAATAAAAGCTGAATCATCAAGAAAATGTAAAAATCCTGGGGCACCTGGGTGGCTCAGTTGGTTAGGTGACTGACTTCGGCTCAGGTCATGATCTCACAGCTCGTGAGTTTGAGCCCCGCGTCGGTCTCTGTGCTGACAGCTCAGAGCCTGGAACCTACTTCAGATTCTGTGTCTTCCCCTCTCTCTACCCGTCCCCTGCTCACGCTCTGTGTTTCTCTGTCTCTCAATAATAAATAAACGTTAAAAAAATTGAAAAAAAAAAAGAAAATGTAAAAATCCTAAGTGTATATGCAACTAATAACAGAGGTTCAAAATACAAAAACTGACAGAACTGGGCTGCCTGGGTGGCTCAGTCCATGATCTCACAGTTTGTGAGTTTTGAGCCCTGAATTGAGCTAGCTGCTGTCAGCATACAGCCTGCTTCAGATCCTGTCACCCTCTCTCTCGAAAATGAATAAACACTTAATAAAAACAAAACAAGAGCAAAAACTGACAGAACTAAAAGGAGACAGAAGCATTCACACTGTCGATAATTTTAACACTCATCTCCCAGGAAATCCTGGAACAATTATGTATAAAAGCAGTAATGATACAAAAATTTTGAACACTGTCAAATACCTTGGCTTGTTATTAATAAATATTGCATTCAACAATAGTAGAGCATACAATGTTTTCAAGTGTGTATGAAACATTCATGAAAACCATATGCTGAGCCATAAAACAAATCCTGGTAAGTTTAAAAGAACTTATATAGACTATGTTCTCTGACAACAATGGAATGAGATAAGAGTAATAACTTTAACAATAATACTAATATTAAAAGCTACTTTGAAAGAAAACACAGTCAGATATTAAACAGCACACTTCTACATAACCCATAAACAAGAAATCATGAAGGACATGAGAAAATATCTTGAACTAAATGATAATGAAAACTCAACATAAGCAAACGTGTGGGATACATCTCAAGCAGTTTATCAGAATTTATAGCTTTATATGCTGACATTAAACAAGAAGGAATGTTTAAAACCAATGGCCTAAGATTCTATTTTAAGAGGTCTGAAAAAGAGCAAAGTAATGTATAACAAGAGCAATATATAGACATCAAAAGTGAGTATATGCAGATGGGAGTTTGTTCTAGTGTCCCTGCATTAACTAAAAAGTGGTAAAAGTACTAATTTACTAAATTAGTAATAATGAAAATTATAATCTTGGGGTGCCTGGTGGCTCAGTCAGTTAAGTGTCCAGCTCTTGATTTCAGCTCTGGTCACGATCTCATGGTTCATGGGTTCGGGCCCTGTGCTGGGCTTTCTGCTGGCAGTGTGGAGCCAGCTTGGGACTCTCATATTCTCTCTCTCCTCCCCCCTCTCTGCTCCTCCCCCACTCACATGCTCTGTCTCTCTCCCTCAAAATAAATAAATATCCATTTAAAAAATAATAACTAAATAAAATAAAATTATAATCTCTAGTGTAATCACTAAGAGAACAGAAAAAGTATAAAATACCAAAGTAACAGTATGCAGAATACTGAATAGTAAACAATACTCAGTCAAATCAATTGAAAAAAAAAGTAAGAAAGGAGGAAGGGAAACAAAACCAAACCAAATAGGCAGGACCTATAGAGACCAATTTAATACACTGCATATTTAAACACAATCATATCAAAATTATATTTAACATAAATTGAATAAATGCACAAATTTAAAAACAAAGATTTTCACAATGGGGGGAAGAAAGTCCAAATGTATGTTTTTATATATAAAAAAAATCTAAAATACAAGGATAAATAAGGACAGTTCAAGGCAGATGAACATAAGGGAAGGGAAGCAAAAATAATGTAAAACACAGAGGTAGACAAACCATAAGAGACTCTTAAATACAGAGAACAAACTAAGGGTTGCTGGAGGAGTGCTGGGTGGGGTGATGGGCTAAATGGGCGAGGGGCATTTAGGAGGACACTTGTTGGGATGAGCACTGTTATATGTAAACGAATTACTAAATTCTATTCCTGAAAATAAATAAATAAAATTAAAGTTACTATTTTTGCATTCCCCCCAAAAGAGAGGTTCAAGGCAAAATATGAGCCATACAAACCACAGCCAAGTGGAAGATGATTTTACAATGATTTAAGACCAAAAAAAGTAGACTTAAAGGTAAAAAAGGTACTTTATATGTTCAGTTGACCAGAAAGATATAACATCTGTAAGTGTGCACTATGTAACAGTCTTGAAATATAAAAACACAGAATTATAGAACTGTAAGGAAAGTCATATCAATAATCACATTAGGTGTTTTTAATATACCTCTCTCCATAAATGAAGAAATAAATGCACAAAAGAGTACTGATATGGAAACAGGAGTATCATGATTAACCATGTTGACCTGACACACATAGAAATTCACATCCAACAACTTCCAAATATGTATTATTTTCAAATGTGAATAGTGTTTATGAAATCTCATTAATGTTAGGCTAACAAATAGTGAAAATATTTCAAAAGTTTAAGATTATACAGAGTATATTATTTCTGCATAGTGAAATTCAGTTAGATATTAATAAGAAAAAGAAAACCAGAAAAACTTCATGTTTTTGGATATAAAAAACTTCCCTTCAAGAGATGATATTTACAAATGACATATCTGATAAAGGGTTAGTATCCAAAATATGTAAAGAACTTGTAAAACTCAACACCCCAAAACAAATAATCCAATTTAAACATGGGCAAAAAACATTGTTCCAAAGAAAAATGAATAGACATTTTTCCAAAGTAGACACATAGATGGCCAAAAGACACATGAAAAGATGCTCAACATCACTCATCATTAGGAAAATACAAATCAAAACTATAATGACATCTCACCTCACACCTGTCAGAATGGCTAAAATCAACAACACAAACAACAGGTGTTGGCAAGGATGTAGAAAAAGGGAAATCCCCTTGCACTGCTGGTGGGAATACAAACTGGTGCAGTCACTCTGAAAAACAGTATGGAGGCTCCTCAAAAAGTTAAAATAGAACTCCTTATGGTCTAGCAAATTGCACTACTAGGTATATACCCAAAGAATACAAAAATACTAATTCAAAGGGATACATGCAGCCCGATATTTATAGCATTATCTAAAGTAGCCAAATTATGGAAATAGCATCCATCAACTCGTGAATGGATACAGAACAGTGGTCTACCTACCTACCTACCTACACATACAATAGAATACTATTAAGCCATAAAAAAGAATGAATATTGCCCTTTACAACAACATGGATGAAGCTAGAGAATATAATGCTCAGTGAAGTCAGAGAAAGATAGTATCATGATTTCACTCATATGTGAATCTAAGAAAGAAAACAGGGAAAGGAATACAGAGAGAGAGAGAGAGAGAGAGAGAGAGAGAGAGAGAGAGAGAGGCAAACCAAGAAACAGACTCTTAATGATAGGGAACAAACTAATGGTTACCAGAGGGAAGCTGGGTGGGGTGGAGGGTGAAATAGGTGATGGGGATTAAGAAGTACACTTGTGATGAGCACCAGTTGTTATATGGAAGTATTGAATCTCTATACTGTATACCTGAAACCAACATTGCATTGTATGTTACCTAACTGGAATTTTAAATAAAAATTTAAAAAAATAAAAAGAAGGAAACTTCCCTTCAAAATAATCCATTTAGAGGACATCATAATGAAAATTATAAGATAATTTAAGGTGACCTTTAACGAAAACATGAAATATCAGAATTGGGAGAATAAAATTAAAGGTGTGCTTAGAAGGAATTTTATGGCTTTAAATGTATGCAGTAAAATGTATGTATTAGAAAAAATAAAAACAAAAATCAATGATCTAAGCACCAGCACAAGATTACAAAATGTGCAATAATTAAACCCAAAGAATACAGTGTACAAAAAGAAAAAGAGCAGAAATTAATGAAAACATGCAAGAGAGGTGATCATCTAATTATCTTCAACATATTTGTATCTTCTTGATTTCAAGGGAGTATACTGACAACCCCCCCCCCCCCGCCACTCCCCATCGTTGACTGCATAAGTAAATACACCATTTGTGCATCTTACAACTTTAATCACTATTTTTCTGGAGTTAAAGAAATTATCTGCCTAACTACAACCAAAAGGCTTGGCTTTTAATGGGGAGAGGGGAGGGGGGAGGGGGGAGGAAAGAATACAGGACTTCGGATAAGCTTGTGAAGTGGGGAATTAATATGCAACTTTGTATCATGGTAAGAAACTGGAAGGTCTAATACCCTCAAATACAGGGAACAAAAGGGGCTGACGGTCTCTACTTGAGCTCTGAGTTAAAAACAGTTTCCTAAGTATTTCACAACTAGCCTGCTCCACAGCCTCCATAGGTTTGGTTTTATTACAACAGTCATCAGAAAATTTCCAATAAGGAAACTAACATAAAATCAATTTAGACAGCTTTTCTTTTCAGGTCACTGGCAAATGCAAATAAGAAGTGAAGAAATAAACTCTCCATCCAATCTATACAAAAATCCCACAGAAAAGTCTGCTAAAGTTTATAAACTAACATTGTAAAACAAAGGAATAATCCGCCATGAATCAGAGTGACTAGAATGAGTTGCAAGAGGCTTAAGTATTAGAACTGTCAGGTGTGTGTGTTTGTACACATACATTTAATATTTGATCTACATTTTATATATGTATATATTTAATTTGTACATAATTTGAATATTAATACAATATATTTTAAATATACATTATTTGAATTATTAAAAGCATAAAAGACCAAAAGGGCGAATTTGAAAAAATATAAAGAAAAGTTCTAGAAATTAAAACACAGACACTAGGGGCGCCTGAGTAGCTCGGTTGGTTAAGTGTCCAACCTTGGCTCAGGTCATGATCTCACAGTCTGTGAGTTTGTGCCCCACGTCAGGCTGTGCGGTAACAGCTCAGAGCCTGGAGCCTGCCTCAGATTCTGTTGTCTCTTTTTCTCCTCTGCCCCCTCCCAACTCGTGTTCTGTCTGTCTCTCTCTCTAAACAAAATATTAAAAAAAAATTAAAAACACAGACACTGAAATAAAATTTAACAAGTAAATCAAGTAAAATATTAGATACAGCTGAAGAGTGACTAAGTGAACTGAAAAACAACCCTAAGGAAATTAGCTAGAATACTGCTCAGAATCTAGGTATTCTCAGATTTATTGCTGTTGTTATAGATTTATCATGTTCAGAAATCAATGTATAATAAAAACAGAACTTTATTTATTTGCTATTCTAAAGCATTTTTTACTCAATCACAACTTTGCATGGGTATCTGTATGTATTATACTAAGGATTGAAGTATAAATAGTATCTATACAAAATGAGCAGCCATTGATCCTTGGCACTTGGCAACATGTACTTCAAAGGCTCAATATTTTAATTTATGTGTTACCTTAACAAAATCTCTATCAGTCTTCTCCTTCCATTCTTCACCAAATACAGTAGAAAAGGATCCTAAAGCTAAAAGAATAAATAGTATATTCAGTAAAATGGAATTATTCTTTCACTTACTTCCTTAGTATGTAGGTTTAGAAAAAACAGCAAAAGTACATTTACGTATCTTCTTCACTAAAAACTACTTCATAGTAAATGATAGAAAGTCATGATAATCTCTTCTGAAATACAGTTTTTTAAATTACAGAATTTAAAGAAAACTTATCTTTCTACAAACTAAAAATATACAACTCATTTTTATAGTATTTATGCAGACAATGTAGAAAAGTAGAATACTGTAACAGTTACTCTGCATTAGGTTTAATTTGTAGAGGAGAAAAAAAAAAGTAAAACTAATGCTATTGCTATTAGGTTGCCAGAATTTTTAAATTTAAAATTTTTATATTAATTTCAAAAGTGATTGGGTAATAAATATTTCAAATAGGATAAGGCATTCTTTGGAAGTAATTCCCACAAATAAAATCTCCCCTAAGAAACATACTCAGTACTATAGTTTCTCTACATTTGATAAAGTTGTTTTAGAAGAAAAATCAAATCATGCATTTCAAAACCTTCTTAATAACACCCAACCCTTCAGGTTTAGGCATATAAGAAGATGTTATATCATTTTATTTCTCCTTTATGTTGCTAGCTCATATTATTATCAGTTATGGGAACAGACAATAAAAGCAGTGTGATACAAATGTCTGAAATGTGGGACAATAATAAGCATTAAGCCTTTAAAAATTAGGGAAATGTTTTTGGGGCATCTGGATGGCTCAGCCAGTTGAGCGTCTGACTCTTGGTTTTGGCTCAGGTCATGATTTCATAGTTTCGTGAGTTTGAGGCCCATATTGGGCTCTAGGTTGGCAGCACACAGCCTGTTTGGAATTCTCTCTCTCCCTCTTTCCCACTTGCGCTGTCTCTGTCTCCCTCAAAATAAACAAACTAAAAAAATTTAAAAAAAAAGGGAAGTGCTTTTATCAACCCTGAGATTAATTCTTTAATGAAAGCTACTGCTTTTGGAACACAGAAAGAAAACTATATAGTGGCAATAGTTAACAGAAAAGCTAGTTTTGTGAACACAATTCTTTAAAAAACAAAAGTAAGCATCCTTAATGGATATGTTGTGATCAGCATATACATTTTCTGTTGTAAAAAGATTTATTGAATCTTTGCATTCTTATTATGCCTTAGACCTAACATTTCCTTAATAGTGAGTTAAGCAAAAGTTTGTTAAGTATTTAGAGTAAGAATTTTCATTTAAACCTACTAAAGAGGATGAAGAATAAATTTTAACATAAGTTTATCAATTAATTTCAATATTGATAATAGGGTCATGAAGAAATAACAGATGTGAAAGTTTTTAATAAGTAAATAAACTACAATGACCTAAGGAAGAATTTCATAAAATATCACACTTACATATAAAATAGCCACTTAATTAGAAAAATGAAGCCCACATACCACTAAAGAGAAATAAGATTTTGTTTGTCCTGAAAAAACCTTATAAAGAAAAACTTCACTGGGAAAGGAATACTAGATGGAAATATAAGATGGAAAAATTACATTTTGTCAAATAGAATTTTTATTATATTCTTCAAACATACCAAAAATATAAACATTCTACGTTTTCTAAAGGAAGTGTCATGTATATTTATCTCTTATTAAAATCCCATGCCCTAAAAATAAATCAAACTGCTCAAAAGCCTAACCAAATCAAATATATTCATAATCCTCAGAGATCTAATGTAAAATCACTGCTTTAAGTATAGTGTCTTCATAAAGTCCCCAAGTACTCTGAACTCTAAACTTCTGACTGTTGGTATGATAGTAATATTCCTTAAATATCATTTGCTAGATTATTAGTTTTTGATTGCTATACTGCATAAGATAAATAAAAGTGACTAAAAAATGCATGAAGATAAACTAGGTCTGAAGAATGTCAGACCTCAGTAAAGCAAAACTGGTAAGATAACTTTTGTTGTATATACACATGTAATCCTATTCATTGATTAAATGGTCAAGATGTCACTAAAATTATTCTGGTTTGAGAATATTTTTTCTAAAAACTTCATTTTTAGGTTTCTAAATGTGAAAAATTTAAACTTTATTCCATTTAAATGCTGAAATGTCCTTAAAAGACCAAAACAAAATATTAGGAACCATAAAACATGAAAGTGAGACAGAAATCCACCAAATTTATATCTCCAAAGCTACAATTCAAACTGAGAAGTACTTTGTTCCTCCCTCATATAACCAGCAAGACTTTCAGGCAGGGTAAAAAACTAATTTCACTTTTGTTTAAACATTTCAAAATTGCCTTCATACAACCTTAAGTACCTGACAAATTCTAAGGTATCATACTACTTACTTACTCCCAAATAAAATTATGTTTGAAAAGTATACTACTTGACCCAAATTGCAGAAAAATGAACTTATTTGCAAACATGTTACTATTTAAGGATAAAACAATAATAGTCACAAATCTATAAAATACTATAAGAAATTCTCTCTCAAACTGTGTCTACTGTGCTATACATAGTGCCGATATGATAAAATAATTTCAATATATCAATACCTTACCTTTTTTTTTTTTTCCTCATGTATCTGAGTTGTTGGGAAAGACATTATGCAAAGTTTGGTCTTGAACAGCTGAGTCCCTTCCCGAGGGGATAAATTAAATCCCTCTCTCCACGTAACTATGTGCACCCAGAATTTCCTTTTGATTCATGCTATCTACCCTATTTGGGATTACCCCCATACCTTACCCATTAGTAGTTTATACTGCTGGCAAAAGAGGTTACAATGGAGTTCAAATAGAAGGAGGGTTGAGAAGAAAAAATTTTACATCAATAACATTCAGCCAACATAGATATTTTAAAAAGAAAAACCATGAGTGGAAAAATTTCGAAACATATTTTCTAAATCTCTATTAAACTACAATTAGAGAAATGAGCAATTTAGTCTTAAGAGTAACCTAGATTTATAGAACATATATAATTTAACTTATGAAAATCTTTGGTGAGCAAATCCTATAAGTAAAAAGGACATGGAATATTTGGTAACTCTTATTTTATTTAGGCAGCAAATTTAATTACATTGACCTAAACTTTTAACTAAAAATAATAACACACACTGCAAAAAAAAAATTTCTTGCAGGTCCCAGTCTTTTCTATCAGGATTTTGTATCAAACAATCTTCTAACATCAAGAAACCCATATTATTACTCTAAGAAAAACCCAGGATTTTTATTGCAAAAGTTCTAGTGAGGTAATTACTATTCAAATATTTAAAGTTAAAAAAACAAATATTCATTTTCTTAAATAGCACATTTAATATAATAAAAGCAAATAAAGAATGCTATTATACTAATAAAAAGTACTTTTCTCCTTAAAAACCTTTTTAAAAATCCTTAAGACCTTTATAGACTGATCATACAATAGGTTCAGCTTAAAACTTACTGTCATCAAACACCCCAGCATTAGCAAGTAATAAAGTGATGATTTTAGGGTCTTTTTCGAGTTGCATGACGTGCTTGCTTTCATTTGATAGAAGAGTGCATACATTAATAGCAAAGTCCACTTCATTTGGGAGTCCAGATAACAGTGAAAGCACCAATTTATTATAATCATTTGGCGAATTGAAGTCCATAGATAGCCCATAACTTTGACGCAGATAATCTAAGACAAAAGCAAAAACACCTTAAGTATATCAAGGATTAGAAACCATTGTGGTTAATATCTTGCAAACACAAGACAGAGGCTTGTTTTCTTTTATGAAATTTAAATTGAGTAGAAGGTTAAAGAGTTCAACTTCCTAAACTTAAGTGAAAATTACATTCTTCAAAAAGTATTAAAATACAAAAAATGTACTATATCCTCTTGGATATCATTACCAAATTATTATTGTATCATTATTTAAATTTACCTACTCAGTACTTTTTACTCCTGCACTTCAAGAATCTATTTCTAATTCTTATACACTACCTAAGCCAGGGACACTGATTCTTTTGAAATTTTGACAATATCATGATTTTAGACACATTGTCTACCTTCTTTACCTAACTATAGGAGAATTATTACTTTTTTGGTCAGATTTATCACAATAATTAACACAGTAAAATTCATGCTTTTTAGTTCTATGAGTTTTGACAAATGAAGTCTTTTAACCACAACCACAATGAAGATACAGAATATTGCCATCACCCACAAAAGTTTCTTTATGCTCTTTTGCAGTTAAGCCCCTCTTCTAACCACAGACAACCACTGATCTACTTCCTGTTCCTATACATTTTTATTTCAAAATTCCAAATAAATGGAATTATATAGTATGTAATCTTTTATGTCTGACTTCATTCATTTAGCAAAATGCTTTTGAGATTAATATCCATATTGAGGTATATATTAGTAGTCTGTTTTTAATGCTATAGTGTGGGCATAACACAATTTGTTTATTCATTCCCTAGTTGAATGACATTTGAACTGTTTTCAGTTTTTGGCACTTATGAATACAGTTGCTATAAACATTCACATATTCGTACAGAAATATTTTTTCACTTCTCTTGCATTGCTGGGCCATATATAAGTGTATGTTTAACTTGGTAAGAAACTGTGAAGCTGCTTCCAAAGTGGCTTATAACATCTTGCATTTCCAGAAGCAATCCAGAGTCCTGTTGCTCTGCATCCCTGTCAGCATTTTAATATCGTCAGTTTTAAATAATCTGAATGTGAGTTATTTATCAAGTATTTGTTTTATATTTTTTCCCAAACAGTGGCCTATCTTTTCAGTTTCTTAACAGTGTCTTTGAAGAGTGTAAGTTCTTCATTTTGATGAAGTGTGATTTATAACTTTTTACATTTATGGTTCACGATTTTGTATCCTAAGAAATCTTTGCCTAATCCAAGGTAACTAAGATTTTCTGTAGGACAATTAATTCAAAACATCTTCAAAACTTTGAAGGTAGGAAAGATGGACTTACAGTAACATATAATCATAATATATAAGAAAATGTCAGTTTAGGCCTTGGTAGCTATGTCCTCAGACATATGCTCCAAATACATTTTCACATAAAGATATTAACTAGTTAATGGGAAGAGGTAAGAAAACAAGAAATAGAAAACTTCCAGATGAGACATTTCAGAAACACATGAATTTTTTAAAGGATTTTTTTTCAACCTTGCTAAATGAAATGCAAATAGAAATCTATTGTCATAACATGCCACAGAAGAAAATCATATAGGTAAGAAATTTCTTTATTTCCCACTGTAGACAGCTGAGGCAGCACCTCTTCAATTCTAAAATATTCTAGGAATTTCTCCAATAATATAATAGCAAAGAAGGGCCACAACAGAGTTACAGATTACTATGACAGATTCTTTACAATATTTAAAATTGAATAATACATTGTTTATTTTCTACAATCCTGATAAATGAAATTTCTAATAACAACATAAGATAAACATAAAATCTGGAGAAAAGGTAACAAAACTTCTGTGAATATAGGAACAGATTAAGCTATTCCTGTCATACACTGGAATTGATGATGAGATGCCAAGTTTTAGGAATAGTTTTTAGCTTCCATGCAACTTTCGGGCAAATCTCTTGAATAGAAAAGAATTAGGAACCCAACTCAACATCTGTCACAGTCTTGTTTATGTGCTTTCAATATGACCTCAGAATTGTTGGCGTTTGCTACTGGACAATGACAGATGCTGACACTCAATTCTGTTCATCCTTACCTGAGTGACTTTGTCAAACACATCTCCAAATAAAATAAAATAAAAAAATATGATATTAACAAAAGTCCTTTAATTGTATCAGGCTTGGTAAAGATTTCTAACATAATGTAGGAGAAAATGTTTCTAAGATTTTAAGATCTTCTCTCCCTTCCCTTCCCCAAGGAAATAGGATTTGAACAGCTATAATTTTATAATTGATATAGGATTAGAAGTTTATTTTCAACATTCTTGACTCAAAGTTTACACAAACAGATCACTGCTGACAAACTTATAACAAGTATAAGTAAAACTGCACTCCATATCAAATGTCCTAGGGCTACGGCCAATTGAAATTTCTTAATTCAAAATATTGTTTAAGAATAGCTTTTTTAGGGGCGCCTGGGTGGCGCAGTCGGTTAAGCGTCCGACTTCAGCCAGGTCACGATCTCGTGCTCCGTGAGTTTGAGCCCCGCGTCGGGCTCTGGGCTGATGGCTCAGAGCCTGGAGCCTGTTTCCGATTCTGTGTCTCCCTCTCTCTCTGCCCCTCCCCCGTTCATGCTCTGTCTCTCTCTGTCCCCAAAATAAATAAACGTTGAAAAAAAAAAAATTTAAAAAAAAAAAAAAAAAAAAGAATAGCTTTTTTAAATATCAACAATTTAAGTGTCTCTAGATAAATATATTGATCCAAATACATTTGTCCAAACCTACATAGAAAGTACGGCCGTATGATCAAAGAGGTAGACACAAATCTTCTATAGGTTCTAACTAAAATTTCCTAGAGATTCTTAATCTACCAGTAGGTAATTTTAATTTGGTCTTTACTTAAAACACACCGATACAAACACAAATAGACAGCTATGAAGCTTACTCTATTTACCTTAATGACACTTGAAAAGAATCTTAAAAGAATTTGTTTGTATAATGATAATTGTGTTAATTTTCAGAACACTGTCATAATGTTGCTATGCCTACTCCTAAAAACAACACCTTCAAATTCATAAATGCTGCCCTGAAATACTATCTCTTTTCAGTTTGAATTAGGTATGTTGTAGTTTGATGTTCCCTAGCAATTCTTACTTCCTTTCCTTTCCTGAGTCCCCAGTCTTGATTTTGTCAAATATGCTACATGTTACATAACTACTCAGATTCTACTTTTAAAAGAGACAACACATATATGACAGCATATCAGAAAGAAGTTATTTTAACGAAGTTAAGCAATTCTGTCATTCCCTTAACTTGTATAGATCTATCAATGGCTTTCCCTAGGCTTCTGAAATACCAGAAATATTTCACATCTTTTTTTCTTGGGGTCATTAGTTTAACTAGGAGAGGAAAAAAAAGAAAAAGAAACACCAGATCCAGAAAAAAATTCATTTTAAACAAGAACAAAAGTAGAAATGGGTCAATACGGGTAGCTGTAAAAGCAGACACCAAACTCTATTTAAGTTACAAGAATGGACAGTTCTGCTATTGCTGTAATATAGGAACCACGCAGTTATATACAGTTGAAATGGTCTTAAAGGTCATTAATATAATGTCTCATTCAATGTAGGAATACCCTTTATAGTAGCCTTGAATAAAATAATGGTCATTAGCCCTTTTTAGGAATAGAGAGTATATTACCTAACAAGTCACCCCATTTTATCAGCTTAAAGTATTTTCAAGATTTTCTACATGGTGACTTAAAATATTCTCCTTTAAACTTGGCTCTTGAGGTAATTAACTACTTAATAAACATAAAGTGAGGTTTGGTTTGTACTCATCACCACCAAACCCTGCCCCCATTATACAAAAGCATCATAATGATGAAGCCTCTTCTAATAATGATCAGATTCTAGAAGATTCTGTGTCTTACTGAACAGGGAAGAAATACAGAGTGAAATTCAACATGAAAGAATATTAGAAAATAGATAATGGAAAATAAAATTAGTGATACTGACACAATGAGAGAGCTTAATGATTATCTAGAAGAGACTGGGACTAGCACTAATGAAGAAAATAAATATCTAAAAAACTGTGTACTTTGTCAATAATATACCCTTGAAAAAAAATACCTCCTCTTTTTTTAGGCCAAATGTTGGTGACTGAAGAAAAGAGATGCTTCATCTCTTCAGAGTTCTTTTCCTAGTCATCACGGTCCCAACACCCAAACTCCAAATACTGGAACCCCCATCTACTCTGACTTAATAACCTCTTTCTTAGACCTTCAACCTGATTATTTCCAATTTGAGTCCTGCTCTTTTTAGCCGCAGATTCCTTTATAGCCATTTTAAGAATGACTTAAATGGAAAAAAAAAATCTTATCCTTGGTACCATGGAAAAAAATACATAGTTAGAAATATTTCTGAGGAATTCTGAGACTGGAAATTACAGTAATTGTAGAAAATCTAGTAGACGCTATCTGAGTATTCTTGGCCTTCCTAATCCTAGGAACTTCTCATTTTCGTGACTATTCAGATTAAAGTGACCATTAGTCGAAAAGGAAAAAAAAAAGGAAAAAACTTCACTTGAAAGTATGGGTATTTCTAATTCTGAAAATTCCTGCAACTAAAAATCTTATACAGCCTATTACAGAAAGGACCCTTATATCAATTAGATGTGGATCTTTGAAAGTTGCACATGCAAAGTAAAGGATTAATTCATTGGATCATGTCTATTTTCCTAATTCAAAACTGTACAATTTCCAATGATATTTACCTGATACACTGTGTTGCTGGTAATTGTAGGAAGATGGAATTGCACCAATAGGAAGCTGTGGCTTTGGATTGCCTGGTGGTACCTCATCATCATCCTCCCCAAAATGATGAACTTTCTCGTATTTTTCTAGGTAACTGAAATAGAAAAACACAGCAGAGTTTTACAAATAGGTTTACATCTTATTTTTTAACTCCTACCTACCACATGATCTGCTTTCCTTCCCTAGAGGCCCTAAATTAAAAAAAAAAAAAAAAAAGATACCACAAGCCTCTTAGATTAAACAGTCACATCAACTGTGATACTACAGACAAACTCAATGCAATCGTTCTAAAGTGTTTTTATATTTTCTCCCTGGTGCTCTAGTGGCTAGGATTTAAAAAAAAAAAAAAAAAAAAAAAGTGTTTTTATATTTTCAGAAAAGACCACTCCACTACTCAAATAAAAATACAAAAGTAGGTAATATCAAAGGACAAACACATGTACATGAATGGGAGAACATATCATTTACCAATTAAAAAAAAAAATTAACCACGGTCATTTAAAAGCCAAGAGAAAATGAGAAGATTCTCTAACCGTGGTCTCCCCTAATCTCACTCACCAGAGATAATCACTAACCAGGTTCACGTGGTTACTGGAGTATATTTTCTGTGCAAAATTTTATTTAACAGTATGTTTTAGAGATCTAAGTATGTCAATACATTAGTACTACTTCAGTTTTTTCTTAACAGCTGTATAATATTTGATCCTCTTCATATATCATAACCTAATTAGATCTCTAGTGATACATTTAGCTACTTTCAGTTTGTTTTCTGCTATTACAAATCATGCAGCAGGAATAAGCTTAATCTGTTTGAATTTTTTTTGTGCAAATTTGTTTGAATATTTTCCTCTAGATAGGCATTGGAAACGGTATGCCCATTCTAAATAAATTCCCATCTAAAAGTGATGGCCTAATATATTTTAACTAACTTATAAGATAGTTCCTGTATCCCCTGCTATATTATCATTACTGGGTATGATTAATCCTCTTGATGTTAATTAGAATTAAATTTCCAAAATTCTCAATCTATCATCACCTACCAGTTTATAATAAGATTCCCAGGTAAGCTTTTTAAATGGGGAAACAATTGGTCAAACCCCTGCCAAATACAATGCTGCAGCTAACAAACTTGCTACTGTACTTCACAAATAAGGTGAACTGATTAATACAGTAACTTAAATTTACTACAGAAAAGTTCTAGATGTGATTATTTTATGGATCACCCCTTTTACCATTCCTGATCCAAGCAGATACTAAGTTCATTAGTAGACATTTTCAAAGTCCTATAGCTACCTACCCTTTGCTTTTTAGTTACAGACAGCTGAGATGAGGAAGGGGATTATCAATGAAGATATAGGATGATCTCAGAAGTATTATTTTGAGTACCAAAACTTAACTTTCAAGGTGGGATAAATGGAAACTATAATTTTACAAATATGAAACACGGAAAATCATTACCATTCCTTATTTTCCCCTTTCAGTCTTATAAGGCACAGTAATTCACATCTTTGAGCCTGAAAAGGAATTAAAATGTCCCTTCCCTTTCCTTCTAAGTTCCCCATATAAGCTCAATTTGAACAAGAACTCGTTCCTAGCTGGCACTTTGATAACTAATGGATCCAACACTTTTCTGCTGGAGATACAGCCGACTAAAGCAGAGACGTGTGTGCAGATACAACCCTTGGGCATTGAGAAGAGTATGCAGCTGCATACATTTCATCCTGACCCTGGGGATGTCCGCGGCAGATAGATTTACAGTCTAAAAACATAAAACAAAAGGATGATTAAAAAGAAGCAGTCTCTCTCCAGGACAGACCCACAATGGACTTAAATAGGTAAATAAATCAAGCCTATTCTTTTTGAATTTTTAATGCAGATATCATAAAAAGAAGAGTATATATAAATTTAGACACAAACAGCTGTTCAAAAATTATGTGACATATTTTCTGCAAATGATTATCTACACTCAGGTAATAGTATTGATAGAGGTATTTTAGAGAGTATAGTCTTTCAGAATTGATTGAACCCTTTGTGGAATGGTTAAACACAAACTCAAATATCTTCATTAAATAATTTTTATCTAACTATAATCAAAATAACAATAAAGATGTAGAATTTTTTAAGTTTATTTTGAGAGAGAGAGAGAGAGAGAGAGAGAGAGCACAAGCAGGGGAAAGGCAGAGAGAGACGGAGAGAGAGAATCTAAGCAGGCTCGGCACAAAGCTCGATCCCGCAAGTGACCTTGAGATTCCATGGGGCTCGATTCCATGAATTCTGAGATCATGACCTCAGCTGAAATCAAGAGTTGGATGCTCAACCAACTGAGCCACCCAGGCACCCCACAGACAAAGAATTTTAAGATCAAAATCTTCCATTAATATGTTTAAGATACTCTTTATAAATCTGTTATAACTGAACACAGCAGATTTGAAATTTGGGCTTGTTTTTTTTTACCCAAACTGTGGTGCAAGCTAGGAGTGCCTGACAACAACACAAGCACTATATACTCATAATAAATGGTGTATTCTATCCATAAAACCTTTTATAACTCAAATTTTCTTAAAATGTTAAAAATATGACCTCTGTCTGGTCCCTCGACACATTCCTCCAGATTCTTTTTTTTTTTTTTTTTTTCAACGTTTATTTATTTTTGGGACAGAGAGAGACAGAGCATGAACGGGGGAGGGGCAGAGAGAGAGGGAGACACAGAATCGGAAACAGGCTCCAGGCTCTGAGCCATCAGCCCAGAGCCCGACGCGGGGCTCAAACTCACGGACCGCGAGATCGTGACCTGGCTGAAGTCGGACGCTTAACCGACTGCGCCGCCCAGGTGCCCCCCAGATTCTTTATATAATTTCAATCCCCAAAAATCTGTGCTTTAGGCAAGTTGTTATGATTTTTGAAATTTTTATTTTCCTGGCTTGAGGGCCAGTACTTGTTCTCACTGTTATGATTAAATATTTCCAACTAAAACTCAACCTCTCTTAGTTCAACCAAGGTTTTGGCACCCAGTTTTGATCTCTTGTCTCTCACAATAAACAAGCACAAAGTCTTTTGGCTTTTCAAAGAGTTATATACTTCTAAAAAGTAAAAAGTAGTAACAGATAAGAGAAAGCTGCTAAAATACAGAGTTACATTTCAAAGTCTAAGTTTTCTAATTTAATTCTCTATCATGACTTAGAGCTTATACACTAACAGATATTTTGTGTTCACTCATTAAACTATAAATGCTAGACTGCACATTTCACTCTCTTTCTTCTCAAACTCAATGACATCACTTTGAATAGTTAATATATGAATCAAACCAGTATTTACTCCATTTCTATGGTAATCTGCCTAGCACACTACATATTTTGTTTAAGTTTATTTATTTATTTATTTTGAGAGACAGAGAGAGAGCACATGAGCTGAGGAAGGCCAGAGAGAGAGACAGAGTGAGAGAGAAAGAGAGGGAGAGAGAATCTCAAGCAGTCTCCACACTCAGTGCAGAGTGCCATGCAGGGCTTGAACTCACGAACCGTGAGATCATGCCCTGAGCAGAAATCAAGAGGGGGACACTTAAGCAACTGAGCCACCCAGGTGCCCATACACTACATATTTAACTCAAGACTGGTACAATATTGAAATCCAGATAGGAAAAGATTCAACTGGGATGAGTTTTATCTTCTTTTTCTTCAACTTGGCATTAATTTATTTTATAGTAGATTCTATATCACAGGTTACAGACTCAGAGGAAGGCAAATATGAAAAGTTGGCATTTAATACAGAAATTGTTTTAAATGGCACTGTTAATTAAAAGCCTTAATAAGTGTGACCAATCCCAATACAATGCAGGGGGGAGTGTTAAGAGTCCATTTAATATAGCATCAAATAAGAGCACCTAGGTGGCTCAGTCAGTTGAGTGTCCATCTCTTGATTTCATCTCAGGTTGTGATCCCAGGGTTGTGGGACTGAGCTGCGCCTTGAGCTCCATGCTAAGTGTGAATTCTGGTTAAAATTCTCTCTCTCTTTTTTTCTCCCCATTCTCTGCCCCTCTCTCCTGTTCCTGCCCTCTCTCTCTTAAAAAACAAAAACAACAACAAAAAACCCCGCATCAAATAATATGCATGGCTTTATCATGAATGTGGGAAAATTTAACCTCTTGCAATATTTGACAGATTAAGTACATTAAAAAAATAAATTAGGTTTACAAGATTTGAGTATAATCGCCACTAAGATTGATTTATTAGACATACAATGATTTTCTTTTTAAAACTCCATGGAAATTATAAAACTGATATGTATCAATTCACACAGAAAATTATAGTAAATTTAAGATTAAATATTATATATGGCACATTCTTTAACCATAAAGCAATTCAAAGAAAGTTTTTTCTAAGAAGGAAATTAACCTCTTGGAAAATTAAAAATAACTTTCATGACGTAAAATTCCAAACCTATATGCAATTATCTTCACGATCCTCTTCTAGATTATTTTAAAGCAATTCTCAGATATCATATAATTTTATCTGTACATATTTTGGTAGAGTTCTTGGAGATTAAAATCAACATTAATAACAACAATCAAGAAAAATTCTTGATTATTCTTGGATGAAGGAAAAAAATCAAATGGATATGATTAGGAACACTTCTATGTAACAATTTTTTGAAATGGTTTTAGTTAAAGATGACAGTTCAAGGACCCATAGTCATCTCTTCCCTTAAATCTAATTGCAATGACCTCTAAAGAATAAAAATAGAGGAATACAGCATTATTTGTAAGTTAATAACTTTTAGAATTTCTGGTCCCTTAAAAGCAACTTCAAGGATCCACAAGACTAACTTGCAAAACATATGAGAGAGTAATGTGATCTAGTGGAAAGTGGATGAGATCCTAGGCCAGAACACATAAAAGGCAAGTACAGTTTGGATTTCCTTCAACCACTAAGGGATTAATAGAAAGTGAAGGTGTGTCTGACAATGGGATCTAGAGACTGTCAATTATTTAAAAAGAACTTACAGAAAGGTGGGTTGAACTCAGTGGTTGTTCAGGGAGGCAAAGTCATTTATAAACTTCACCTTTGAGGTTCTTTGTCAAAATAAACCCGAAGACCC